TGCTCCCCGGCCACCGGAGGAGGGTCCCACATGGCGCGCAGACCTCTCCTGCCGCCCGCTGCTCCCCTCAGCAGTGTACTTCGGTCCTTCTGCCTGTTCTGCTCCCCGCTCTGGCTCTGGTGAATTCTCTCACCCTCCCGCACTTCTGACTGTACCCAGTGCATGTATAAACAAAACAAAACAAATAAATAAATAAAAAAATACAGGCCTCTTAAAAAAAAAAAAAAAATATAGTTTCCAAGTCAAGCACTGAAAGTTACCCATCCCCTTGTGAGTTAATGCCCAGCCGAACAAGGCTGGCCCAAAGCAAGGCCTCTGAGGCTTGAAAACCTGCCACAAGTCTAAGGCACCTCCTGGTGGGGATATATAAAATGGGTCAGAAACAGCCAGACAAGTCTGGAAGGGAAAAAAAAAACAATATCAAGATCAAACTGCCATTATTAATCTCCCCACATCTGTTTCAACCAGTCCAGGACCAAGAAGCAAGTGCAGCTTTTTCACATGTCTCTCTGCTCCATCTGCCTCCTCCAGGTCTCCTTCTTGCTCTCCATCCTTCTTCCTTCCTTCCCCAATCTCCTCTCCAGCTTCTTTTCCTCCCTGCTCAGCTCCACTCTCCTTTGGGTTGAGCAGGAAAACTGGAACCTCCCTTTTCCCTCTTGACCACCCTGTTACAAGGGGGAGAGACACATAAACAGAGACTTACAAAACAATGAGAAACATAAAGTGATGGAGAAATGTAGATGGTTACAGAAAGATAAGGAGGGACACCTATCCAGCCTGGAGCAGGAAGGAAAGAAGAAAGAAAGACATCAGGAAAGGCTTCCAGAACATAGTGATGTCTGAACAGAGTATAAACAAGTCTGGCTTCTTCCCTATACATCTCAGATTACGAACAATACATTTTTATGATTGCTTTTTTAGTCAAGTAATAACAGCTGTGAATCCAAGGATAAGTTTTAGAAATAATTGGATAATACATCATATTTCTACAAAATGATGAGACATCCCCAACAAAATAGGCAGGAGAGATGGCACAGAGGATGATGTGGCATTACACGGGTGTTGCAATGTATGAATGCTCTGTGATGTTTGTAAATTATGGCGGCAGTGAGGCTGCATAGGTATCTGACCAAAAACGTATGGGGGCATTGGTAAATAAACAGTTCTGCCACAACATGTGATGTTTAGGTGATACTTTTTTCTTCCTAGAACTGAAGAGCTTCTGCCATCACTCATACATAGCACAGTAGATATTACATTTGGGATCAGGGTGAGTGCTAGGAAAAAAACCCTCAAGATCATAGTATTTAATTGAAAGAGGAAGAATTTGGAAAAAAAACCCAGCTTGTTTGAAGCTATTTACTAACAGAGATGAATCAGAATGCAGGTCTACACCACTTATTCATTAAAAAAATGGGGTGATATCTAAGTGCCAGGCTCTGTGCTGGGGACAGAAAATAAAATGTAAACTCATTCAATGATACTTCCTTACTAACCCCCAATGCAATCTACTGCCGCAAATAATGGAGTTTCACTCAAAAATACTTCAGATGCATCTTCAAATGTTACATAACGACTTGTATGTAACATTGCCCTCAAAATAACTTACTAATATCAAAGATACCGCTGGTTATTAACTAATTTTGAAAGTATATAATATCACAGATGAGTTTTTAATGATTGTTTGTGCAAACTGGATCCCAAAATATGGCACATTAAAAGTCTCTTTGTTACCATTATTTGTTTAGGAAATGAAGTTACTGTCTAGCCAAATTTCTAGTCTGGACTTTGCTGATTACAATGCCAGCTTTCACTTAACATGTTCCTCTGTTTTCTGATTTTATCTTTTGCCACCATAAACTAGTATTTAAGTCTAGTGCTTGATAAGATTCAGGTTCAACTTTTTTTAGAAAAATACTTCATAGGTGGCTCTGTTTATTTCTTATTGCATTACTTCAGGAGGTAGATAATATCTGGTTGTTTTTCTTTTTGTGGTGTTAAGATTAATTAGCAGGTGTTGTCACTAATTCATCTATTCTAAAAAGTTAAGGGTGCTATGTTAGTGTTCAGAAAAGACCTTTAAAGGAAGTGCTTTTGAAGCTGTGACCTAAGGATAAAAAAAAGAGTGTTGGAAGAGTAGAAGCATGTAGCAGGTAGAAGTGCTGAGGTCAGAAAGAGCTTGCCATGCATTCAATCACCCTTCTCAGCTTTTCATTCCATTCTCCACTACTCCCAGTAGTTTTCCAGTCTCCAAAAGGTGAAAGTGGAAAGCCCTCTCCCTAGAAGTGTCAGGAACCCAGTGGCACTTTCTGGTACAGGTCACCATAGGTGTATAATTTTGCTCTCCTGGAAATGCTTAGGAGAAGTATTTTTACTTAGACTCAGAGACCTAGGTAAGAGGACAACTGGTTGTCTCTCATGACAGAAACCACATGACAGCATGGCAGAAATGTACTGATTAGGGTATAATTTGTTCAAATCACAAAAATTCACATTTTACAAATTTACTTTTTAAAATTTACAAATTATATGTAATTCTTTTCTGGAATGTTCTCCACTAGACTAAAATAGTAGTGGTTCTACTTTCTCTTTTAAAATTGTGATGTACCAAAACTTACCTCACAGGATTCTGTCAAAGTGTATCTTGGTTTACAAGCCAGACATTAGTTAAATTAGGAAGGACAGGGGCCTCCCTGGTGGCACAAGGGGTTAAGAACAACACTATGAAGCAATCTGCAACCTCTGCAGCACGAGTTCAATCCCTGGCTGACCAGGGAGCAACCCAAATGGCGCAGCAGACCTCTCCTGTCTTGCCCACTGCTCCCCTCAGCAGTGTATTTCAGTCAATCTGCCTGTTCTGTTCCCCACTCTCTCTCTGGTGAATCCTCTCATCCCCTGCACCTCTGGCCTGTACCCCAGCTCTTCTAATGCATAAAAATAAATAAATCTTCAAAGCAGGAAGGACAGCTTTGAATCAGCAATGTGCTAGCACAATAGAGAAAAAAGTTCAGTTTAAACTTAATTCAAATTCCATGTTTACAGCGGTGACTGGGCTTTTTAAAAGGTGAATAAAGGAATAGGATTAGGGTGAGGGGGTGCAGTAGAGCCAGGTAGTAAAAATGACAAAAAGCAGAAGGGGGAATTGGTCCCCATGAAACTCACTGTTTGCTAACTGGCACTTCTAAATTAGGCTCCTTCTTTTCCACAGAGGTTAGGAGACCAGTGCTATCTTCAGGCTTTGGTTGCAACAAATGGTAAATTTTTTGGACAACCTTGAGTTTTCTTCCACAGATACTTTAAGGGAAGTAGGGTCATCCTAGGGGAGAGGCTTTGCTCTACTAGAAACTATGCGTTTGTTCAAGTCTTTCTAGGCTAAAGTTGACAGACCCAGTCAAGAAGAGCACTCAGAGGACCCTGTCTAGAGTATCCTCAATTGTTAAGAGCAGCAAATGAGATAATGACTGTGAAAGTGCTTTGAGGAATTAACACAAGACATCAGACCATCAGTTGTTACAATCACTCATAAAATCAATCACATCCCTTCTCTTCCTTCAAAATGCTTATTATAATTCTCCCTTACATTGAGTTATAACTACTAAACAAACTGTCACCAGGATAATCTACACTACACTAGGTAATCTACATCCAACATAGTATTGTATTTCCTTCAAACAACCCTATTAGGAAACATTAGTTTACAGAAGAGGAAACAGGCTCAGAAAGGTTAGATACATGATCAAGGTCATACAATGAGTGAGGCCATATTTATAGTCAATGCAGGTAATTGTTACCTGGTTCCATTAAACAAGAAACTCCTTTCAATTTATAAAAGGTTAGATTAAAAGGGAAACAACTTATTCCTACTACACTGGACATGTTCATTACATAAAATTTTTTGTGAGAAAAAAATTTTTTGTGATAATCTTATCGCATATAGGCCCTCTCAATCTAACAAGATAGGAAGGGCACAGGTCAAGTTATGTCCCTTCAGTTTGTGAAATGTCAGCCCTTGTACCAGCCCTCGGAGAAGTAAGGAACAAGACACAGAATAGTTGATACTAAACTCTGCTTTCCAAGAAAGAGTTCAACGACGATTCAGCAGATCCACAATGAGTCAAGACAAGCTGGGGTCTCAGGGAAGAATAGAATTGAGCTAGATCTTAGGATACTGGTGCTGAGAAGGAAACTGAGAACACCCTTTTAGATAGGAAGGTGGGAAGCAAGAATTTAATCTCTCTCTCAAAATCGCTATATACGCTTGAGCGACCAACAGTTCTATTCGCTGGCATTATCCTGAAAGGCAGCAACGTTCAAAGTTAGGTCTGAAGGGCCCCCCCTCCCTGGTGGCGCAAGGGGTTAAGGCCCAACCTATGAAGCTGTTCGCAGCCACTGCAGGAGTTCGATCCCCGGCCAGGGAGGTGACCCACGTGGCGCAGCACACCTCTCCCGTCTGGCCCGCTGTTCCCCTCAGCAGTGTGTTTCAGTCAGTCTGCCTGTTCTGCTCCCCACTCTGTCTCTGGTGAATCCTCTCGTCCCCCGCACCTCTGGCCTGTGCCCCAGTTCTTGTATGCATAAATAAATAAATCTTAAAAAAAAAAAAAAAAGAAAGTTAGGTCTGACATAAGAACCCCTGGGCTAGGAGCGGTTTACTGCGATGGTTGCGGGAGTCCCTGCGCCCCTAGCGGGACTCTGCATTTCCACCATCTGAAATCACCACAAATCAGGGGCGTCATCGCCTGCCTCTCTATACTGTTCCGTCAAACTCTATGATTGCTGGGGGCGCGCCGCGCACCTACCGCCGCGCAAGACCGACTGGTCTTTCCGCACAAAGACTGCGGGAAGAGGAGTCGGCGCAGGCGCTCTGAGGCTCCCAGAAAATCGGGTCATCGTCCCGCCCCCTGGCTAGGGGAGCACCGCTTGGCACATGCTCCGTGAGGCCGCCCAGGACTTATTTCACGCTGGCGACGGTGGTGACGTAATGACCGAGGAGGCGGTGGTCAAGGAACGGAAGCCGGGAAGGAACTAGGGCGGAAGGGGACCAGGGCCGGGGTTGTGTTCGGTCCTTGGCGGGGCTGGGGTTCCGATGTGGTCCCCGGAGCGGGAGGCCGAGATCCCGGCCGGGAGAGACCCCGCGGGCCTACTGCCCCCCGAGTGGGAGGAGGATGAGGAGCGCATGTCCTTCTTGTTCTCCGCCTTCAAAAGAAGCCGCGAGGTGAACAGCACCGACTGGGACAGCAAGATGGGCTTCTGGGCGCCGTTGGTGCTGAGCCACAGTCGCCGCCAGGGGGTGGTGCGCCTGCGTCTGCGGGACTTGCAGGAGGCCTTTCAGCGCAAGGGCAGCGTCCCGCTGGGGCTGGCCACCGTGCTGCAGGACCTGCTGCGGTGAGGGCGGGCCCGGGCCCGGGCGGGCCGGGGTGGGGGCGGCGCCCTGAGGGCAGGGACCCGGGCCTGTTCTGACCCCGCACCGCGCCTGGTCGCGGTGCCCAGATGAGCAGGTCTGTTTCTAGGAAACCAAGACGACCCGGAGGCTGGGTTAGGGGGTAGAAAAGGAGAGGGGACACAGGATATGGGAGATACTGGGGGCATAGTCCTATTAGATGAGGCTCAGATGGTAAGAGAAGCCAGCCTGGCACAGGTGACAGCGATTTATCTGGGCTGGAATCCTGTTATGTAGTTATTTTGTAGGGGTTAGAAATTTGAATTACCCCAGGAACAGCTGGTTCATGAAATGGGATTTATTGAACTAAGGGAATGAGAGCTAAGAGGTCAGTCCTGGGGAAGAGGCCTTTAGGGGTCTTGGCAATAGCTTCTAGCACAAGTCCTGTGTCTTGTGCCTATGTTGGCTTGTTGGTGGCACAAGCTGTTTGCATCAGATAAGAGCCCAGGAAGAGGGGTGAGGTCTTTAATGCATCTTTTGGTGCTTGAGAAGGTCCTGTAGGTGCGATGTGTGCAACAGGTGTGTTTTGGAGGTACCTGAGGCTGCACACACCATTTTATCTAACCCATCGGCAGGATCTCTGTCTGCAGTGTCTGTCAACATACTTGGGGTTACAAAACTAGTTAGAGGTAATGGCAGGGCTGGACCCCTGGTCTTCTGATTCTAAATCATTTTCATTTCAGGTTGTCTGTAATACTGAGGGCAGCCTAGTGAGCATGTGCCTCCCTCCTATGGGACAACGAAGTCAACTTTGTTGCATTTCTTCAAGTTTGCTTCTCTTCCAGTACTTGGCATTGGCTGATATGCTGGATACCCCTTTTGGAAGTTTCTTTTTTCTCAGAAAATGTGCTGTGGAGAAAGTTGTAGTTCATGCCTGAAGTGGAGATCATGGGAGACGGTAGCTGAAGAAATCAGTGAGGGAGAAAAACAGCCTGGGCTTTCTTACTGCAGCAGGACCACCTACCACTGCAATCTAGGAACCTTGATAATCTCCATTTCTCCTCTCCTCCCTGCTGGCACTACTGACTATCCCTGGTGCTTGATTGGGTCTGACACCTGAAAAATTTCTGAGGGAGATATTTCTCTGGAGATGCAGCATAGCTATTACTTAGCAGCTTTGGGGGCAAATCCTGGCTATGCCACTTGATCTTGGGCAAATTATGTGCTCTTTAAACCTTAGTTTGACCAGTTATAAGATGATGAGTGTAACTAGATTTATTGTGAGGTTTTGAAGAGATATTTCTTTTTTTTTTTTTTTTTAATATTAAATTTTATTTTTATATTCCCCCATACAATTGCAAACGCCCCATTCTGACCCCAATCCTTCCCCTCCCGCCCCCCACCCCCCAAAAAGTGTCTCTGGTTCATAGTTTTTTGTTGATTTTGATTTTCACTTTCTTATATTCATTTTCCTGGTCCCTTATTTAAGTTTTCTAGATTCCTGCTATGAGTGAGACCATCCGGTATTTTTCTTTTTCTTTTTGGCTTATTTCGCTGAGCATGATCCCTTCCAGTGCCATCCATGTTGCTGCAAATTGCATGTGTTTATCTTTTTTGAATGCTGAGTAATATTCCATGGTATATATGTACCACATCTTCTTGATCCAGTCATCTATTTTTGGGCATTTGGGTTGTTTCCAAAGCTTAGCTATTGTAAACAGTGCTGCTATAAACATAGGAGTGCAGGTGCTCTTTGGAATTGATGTTTCTGTGTCCTTTGGGTAAATACCTAGGAGTGGAATTGCTGGATCATATGGAAGCTCTATGTTTAGTAGGTCCAGAAATCTCCACACAGCTCTCCATAGTGGTTGGACCAGTTTGCACTCCCACCAACAGTGCACAAGAGTTCCTTTTTCTCCACATCCTCGCCAACATTTGTTGTTGCTAGTTTTTTTAATATGTGCCATTCTCACTGGTGTGAGATGGTATCTCATGGTAGTTTTGATTTGCATTTCCCTGATTACAAGTGATGTTGAACATTTTTTCATATGTCTGTTGGCCATTTGCATTTCCTTTGAAGAGATATTTCTTATAGCCCTTAGCATAGTGACTGGTAAGCATTTAGTACATTTCACCAGTACCATGAAAGGATTATATCTTGTGTCCACCCTAAGTAGGAATAGCAGAAAGCCCTTTCTTTGAACATCTTTCTGTTCTTCCTTATGTCTTGTACTTGACAGTGATCTATTACCATTATATTCATTTTATCATTTGGAACTCCACATATAAGAGGAAATCTCAACATAGGCCCTGTAGCTTCATGTGCCTCTGTAGTATTAGGGGAGAACTTGTGTTTTGGAGCCAGCCAGTTCAGACTTAGCCTCTCTCCTTACCCTCTCGGTGTTCTCATTAGCTAACCCCCGAACTCTGATGACACATCTGTCTTTCCGAGAGGTGAGGCTTAGGGCTGGAACATCAATAATGCTGCTTATAGTAGCTGGCGCAGGTAGGTACCTATTAAATGCTGTCTGTGATGATGGTGGTCAAATCCCTCTTTGGGGGTAAGGAGGCAGGTGGGAACTAGAATAGGACATTGAGTTAAACCTACCACATACCCTTCTCTTTGTTTGCCTGCAGTCGAGGGGAGCTGCAGCGGGAGTCAGACTTCATGGCCAGTGTAGATAGCAGCTGGATCTCCTGGGGAGTTGGAGTTTTCCTGCTGAAGCCCCTCAAGTGGACTCTCTCCAACATGCTGGGGGATAATAAGGTTCCTGCGGAGGAGGTGCTTGTGGCTGTGGAGCTGCTTAAGGTAGGTGCTGAGAGGGGAGAGGTCTGGATGTCATCTGGCGTGATGACAGCATCCTCCATGTTCCTGTGTGAGTTTATCTGACTACTTCTGTACATTGTTTAGTTGTTTGTTAGTTGGGCTTTGACACATTAAGAGTAACCCTTTTTTTAACAATTGTCAGTAACATTCAGTTGATTATTTTCAATATTTATAGGAATTAATGAGAAACTAAAGTTTAGAAAATGCTTTGCCTTCTGTGGTTTACTGACAAAATTTCTCAGGATTTCTGAGGACCATGTGACTTTGAGCTTTGTCTTCTCTTAAATCAGCAGACTTGGCTCTGATCTCCTCTATTCTTACTTACTTCCATCACTTACTTCCATGATATTGCAGGCCCTTGGTACCATCATGCTCTCCTGGTCAGCTTCCTCTTGACCTGTGTTCCCACCCAGCCTAGTGTGTACAACTGGTACTGCCTGCCTCCCTCGCTGGTAACTTCAGCTCTTGTGTAGCTCACTTAGTCCGCACCAGCGACGCCATTAAATCAGTACCTTAGATCAGTGTGAGGTCTGCCATCCCTGTTGGAGAAAATCACCCTGTCATCAAGACTGGAGTCCCTCTTAGGATCCCCAACTTTAGGAGGACCTTCAGAATCATACCACAGCCCAGTCTTGTCCCCTCCCAGCCCCTCATACCTGCCTTCCATGCTCCCTTCCTTCTGCTCTCTGCGGTAGAATCTCCTAAATTAATGCCTTCAATTTTCTGTTGTTGCATCTCTGACTTAACCTTCTCTGAGCCCTTCCTCCTCAACAAGTTCAGAGGATGAAATGTCTTTCCTCTAAACCACTTGTACTCTGGAATCTGTCCTTACCCTGCTTGTCCTCTTAGTTAGCCTCTTGATCTGTATAGTCCCTCCTCCTCCCTTGATGCTCTCCCCCCTCAGCCGCTAACCCACTTGGAGTATGACTCCTTTCACAGTATGACTCCTTTGTGGGCCCTGGGTCCCTGCTTAGTTACTGCTCTGTCTCTCTCTCTCAACCCTGTTGTCACCACATACTCTTTATCCAATACAAACCTGCTTCAGCCCTAACACACTTATGTATATGTTTACAAAATTGACTGAACACCAGGTAGCAGAAGTATGCTGCAGACAGTAGGTATTTTTGAAACTTGCAGGCCAAGTCCAATCTCAGGACCCTTGCATAGCCCTGGAAGTTTCACACAGGTAGAGCCAGCTCAGAATCCTTATTCCCCCATGCCAAGAGGAGCTCTACTTTCTCCTCACCTCATCAGAGCCCTACACACACTCTGCCTCAGACTGTGGAGAAAGTCTCCAGAATCTACCAACTTTTCCCTTTCCCCCAGGAGTTTTGACTCAGCAGCACACATTTCCTTCCTCCTCTCCCCTCATGCCCTCTCTCTCCTCCCCATAATACAGTTATTTCCCCCACCCAACACCCTTACTCCCTAGGCTCAACCACGGTCCCCTAGAGACTCCAGAATATTTGCTTGGTTCTGGGCCAAGGGCCATTCCTCTTCGCAGTCTTTGACCTCATGTGTTCCCCACCTGGAGCAAAGGGAGGTAGATCCTTGTGTCCCCACAGATCACCTTTGGACTCACAATCTTTTGCGAGCAAAGGTAGAAAGAATGTGAGTAGGGAGGAATTACTTCGACCTTCCAAGAACCAACAATAAATTCTGACAGCAGTGTAGTCTAATTCTATTTAGGTGGAAAAATAAATCTAGCTCTGCAGGGGCACTGTACTGTTAAATATATACCTAGTTTACATCACTCAACAGAACACTTAACAATCTCATTCAGTGACATCTGCTTTCAAGTACTTGGTGACTTCACCGTGTTCTTCTGGTATGAGGACATGTTTATATGCATGAAACTAATGGGATATTTTTACAAAATGAAGAAAGCCTGCTTCTTAGGTAAATTGATTTTCCCAAGTCTAGAGTCAGAAAGCAATCAGTAACTTTTTACTTTATTTGAAAAGATGCAAAAAGATTAAAATTGCCCATTATTTTGCTACTTAAAAAAATATATACAGGGCCTCCCCTGGTGGTGTAGGCCGTTGAGTGCAGCGCTGTGAAGCTGTCTGCAGTCTCTGCAGCACAGGTTTGATACCCAGGGAGATAACCACATGGCGTGGCAGACCTCCCCTGTCTTGCCTGCTGCTCCCCTCAGCTGTGTATTTCAGTCAGTCTGCCTGTTCTGTTCCCGTTCTGTCTCTGGTGAATGCTCTCATCCTCCCGCACATTTGGCCTATACCCCGGTTTATTTATTGTATGCATAAATAAATAAATCTTTTTTAAAAAATTAAAAAAATATATACAATGAAATGAAATTTCCCTTCTGCTCACCATTTCCATCTCTGTGGATATGTTCCATTCCTGTTTGCACCAGTGTGTGTGTGTGTGTGTGTGTGTGTGTGTGTGTGTGTGTGTGTGTAGGTAGATGTATATTTTGTTATTGATCCTGTCCCACTCCCTATCATGTTATTTTCTATTTTATTTTCTTATAACTAATACTTTCTGAAAATCTTCTTTGTTTACTTGTTTTTATTTGTCCTACTTAGAAGGAAGACTTTCCTTAGGCTCTGGAACACTGGGAACAGTGCCAGATACATAGTATACAGCCAATAGATATTTTTTAAGCAAATAAATGAATATACAAACGTATATATACATATATACTCCTTTTTTTTTTTTTTTAAAGATTTATTTATTTATCCATATAAGAACCAGGGTACAGGCCAAATTCACGGGAGGGTGAGAGGATTCACCAGAGACAAAGCAGGGAACAGAACAGGCAGACTGACTAAATACACTGCTGAGGGGAGCAGTGGTGAGACAGGAGAGGTCTGCTGTGCCATGTGGAACCCTCGCCGGCCAGCCAGGATCACACCGGCGCTGCAGAGGCTGTGGACAGCTTCACAGCGCTGCGCTCAACTGCCTGCGCCACCAGGGGAGGCCCTATACGCCTTTGTTTTCCAGGAATGGAATCTTACTTACTTGTTAGTCTGCAGCCTGATTTTTTTTCTTTCCATTTTTTAAACTATATCATGACCAGTGTCGATCGATTTCATTCTTTTGGATGGTTACCAAATAATCTATAGATACGCCATAATTTACAAAATAGTTGCCACATAGATGGGCATTTATGTCTTTCCAATATTTGTTAAGAAGAAAAATTCTGGGCCTCCCTGGTGGCCCTGGTAGTCTCAGCACTATGAAGCCATCCTCAGCCACTGCAGCAGGAGTTCAACCCCCAACCAGGGAGCTAACCCACATAGCACAGCAGACCTCTCCCGTCTTGCCCGCTGCTCCCCTCAGCAGTGTATTTCAGTCAATCCACCTGTTCTGCTCCCTACTCTGTCTATGGTGAGTCCTCTCACCCTCTCGCACCTCTGGCCTACACCCCAGTTCTTGTATGCATAAATAAATGAAATAAAAATCTTTAAAAAAAAGAAGAAAAATGCTACAATGAAAGTCATGTTCATATATCCGTGTACTTCTTTTATTTTTATGCAGTTATTTCCAGAAATGCATATGGACATTTTAAATTTTAACAGAAATTACCAAATTACACTTTGATCAAGACTACATTAAAGTGGCCAATCCCCCCATATCCTTACCGATATTGTCTTAAATTCTGCCAATTTGATGCATCAGAATAATACGTCCTACTTTCACCCATCTATTGGCTCTTCCGTATACTGAGTACTCTCAGAGTTTTCTCTGCTGTCCTAGTGTCTCCTTTGAGTTTCAGATTTGTATATCCAGTTACCTATGGTATGGATCTTCTTGGGTGTACCTTAGGCAGCAAACAACATGTTCAAAATAGGGACTGTTTTCTCCTTCCTTTAAAATAATGTTTTTCCTTTTGTTTCCTGCTGTTAATTAATAACATCACACACACCCACAGTTACTCAAGGCAGGTCCCAGGAGTCACCTAGACTCTCCTCTCTCCTTCTCCCCATACCTAGTTACCATGAGCTGCCAGTTTCACCTTCTAAATTTTACTTGAATCCATCCCCACTCTGTCCCTGTTACTATTACCTCTTTTACTTCCTTATAGTCTCTTGCATATATGGTCTCCCCACCTCTGAGCCTCACTCTTACAATCCATCCTTTCACAGTTGACAGCTAGATCTCTCTTTAAAAAAAAAAAAAAAAGATTTATTTATTTATTTATACAAACATTGGGTACAGTTAGAAGCACGGAGGGTGAGAGAATTCACCAGAGCCAGAGCGGGGAGCAGAACAGGCAGACCAACGAAGTACACTGCCGAGGGGATCAGCGGGCGTAGCAGGAGAGGTCTGCGTGCCATGTGGGACCCTCGCTGGTGGCCGGGGATCGAACCAGCACTGCAGAGGCTGTGGGCAGCCTCGCAGCCCAGCGCTCAACCGCTGCGCCACCAGGGGAGGCCCTAGATCTCTCTTGATCTAGCCGTGTCATCTCCCTTCAGTAACTGCCCACCATGTGCAGAATAAAGAAGAAAATACAGGTTGTCTGCACCCATGAACACCGTATTGACTCACACTTACGCTGCTGCTCATGATTGTCCCTCTTCCCAGGATTCCCTTCCGTCCCACTTCACTTGGTAACTTACTTACCCTTCAGAATATTGCCTCGCAACCCCTTTTTTTGCAAGCAACCTCTGAACTCCTTGGTATTCCTTCCCTATATTTTCATAGCTTTCTGTGTAAAAGCTTTTTAATATGAGGTAATCCCAGTTGTTTATTTTTGCTTCTGTTTTCCTTTCTGTAGGTTTGAGGCTCCAACGATACCATTATCACCGATGTCATGAAACATATCGCTGTTTTCTTCCATATATTTTGTGGTTGCAGGTCTTATATCCAAGTCTGTTAGCCACTTTGAATTTATTTTTGTGCATGGAGTTAGAGAGGGATCCAATCTCATTTTATTACATGTGTCCATCCAGCTTTACCAGGACCATTTTGTTAAAGAGACTTTCCTTTTTCCATTGCATGGCTGTGGCTCCTTTTTCATGAATTAAATATTGGTGTATATGTGGGTTTATTTCTGGAATCTCAGGTCTGTTTCAGTGGTCTACTTTTATTCCAATATCATATGTTTTAATTACTATTGCTTCGTAGTATGATTTAAAACTCAAGAAATTTCCATTTCTCTCCTTTTTTCTCAGGATTGCTTTAGCTATTCCAGGTCTTTATTCCTATTCCAGGTCTATATATCCTATTTCCTTAAATAATACCATTGGTATTTTATGGTCATTGTATTACGTTTATATATCATTTTTGGTTGAAGAGTCATTTTGACCAAATTGTTCTCCCCATCCATAAAATGTCTTTCCAACTCTTTATGTCTTGTTCTATATCCTATAGTAGAGTCTTGTAGTTTTTATTGTCTAAGTTCTTCACCTCCTTGGTTAGGTTAATTAGGTATTTAATGCTTTTTGATGGAATTTTCTTTATTTCTTTTTCTTGTTCTTCTTGTTATTTATATAGAAAAATGCAACAAATTCTTGTATGTTAATTTTGTCACCTGCCACTTTGCTGTTTTCATTTATTGTGTCTCATAGTTTTTTGGTGGCATCTTCAGAGCTTTCTACAGACAGTAACATATCGTCTGCAAATCGTGTTAGTTACACTTCTTTATCAACTTGGGATTCCTTATTTCCTGTTGCTGTCGGATTGCTATAACTAAAACCTCTAATAATAAATTAAATAGAAGTGGTGATGGTAGATACTTGTTCCTAATCTTAAAGGGAAAGTTTTCAGGTTTTCACCATTAAGTATTATATTTTCTGTAGGTTTGTTATGTGAGGCCTTTACTATGCTGAGGTCAGTTCCTTTTTTTCTCATGTTGTTTAGAGTTTTTATCGTAAATGGATACTGAATCTTATCAAATGCTTTCTTTCCATTTATGATATTATCATACAATCTTTACTTTTATTGATGTGATGTATTATGTTGGTTGATTTACATATATTAATCCATGATTTACATATATTAACCTATTTACATATATTAACCATTGATAATGATGTATATTCTTCATTATGTATTGCTGAATTCAATGTGCTGGTGTTTTGTTAAAGATTTTTGCATCAATATTCATCAGGGGTATTGGTCAGTCTGTAGTTTCTTATGTTGTTTTAGTCTGATTTTTATGTTAGGGTAGTATTGGCATCATAAAATGTTTTAGGGACTGTTCCCTCTTCTTGGATTTTTAGAAATAAATTTGAGCAAGAAGGACATTAGTTCTTCTTTAATGGTTTGATAAAATTTACTTATAAAGTTGCCTGGCATTGGGCTTTTGTTTTGGGGGGAGATTTCTGGTTACAAGTTCTAGTTTCATGATTGTAATCAGTTTATTCCCCTTTTCTGTTTTACACTACTTTAATCTTTGTAAAGTATATTGTTCTAGAAATTTGTCCATTTCTTCAAGGTTATCAAATTTATTAGAATAGTTATTCATAGTAATCTCTTGTGACCCTTTGTATTTCTATGCTATCTGTGGTAATTTCTCTGCTTTCATTTTTAATTCTGTTTATTAGTGTTTCCTCTTTTCCTTCCTTTGTTAGTGTAGTTAGAGGTTTATCGATTTTATCTTCTCAAAGAACCATCTCTTATGGTCCTTAGATTTCTGTTTCATTTGTCTCCACCTTGTTATTTCTTTCCTTCTGTTAACTTTGGATCATGTTTCTTCCTCTTCTGCAAGTTGCTTTAGGTGTGATATTAAGTTGTTCATTTGTCTTGAGATTCTACGGATTCAGTAATATTCCTTTTTATAGCACTGCCAGTGGCATAAAAATGGAGAGATTAGGTTTGGTAGGGAATTTAGATGTAATGTCATTCCCCCACCTCAGCTTGGTGATACTGGCCCAGGGTCATACAGCCTGGGCTGAAAACCAGGCCCTAGGCCTTGTCCCTGGGCCTTTCTGCCTCACCATGCAGCCTCATTCTGCCCTCAGGAACCATGTCTGGGGCAACAGCCCAGATGAGAGGGCACACTCAGAGCTGGCTCCTAGTAATATCACGTACCTCATTTCATCCATCGTCTCCAACCTCTCCTCCAAGTTTTAAAAAACACAAATCCTTTTTCCTTTTCCAGAGCTGCTACTTTAGGGAAGATGAGGTCAGTACCCCCTGCCTTAGCTTTTGTGTGGTCGTAGTTTTGAAGCACTGGCAGTGGGCAGCGGTCAGAGCTGAAAGCACATTCTGCTTCCCTGCAGGAGAAGGCTGAGGAGGTGTATCGTCTGTATCAGAACTCCCCTCTCTCTTCCCACCCTGTGGTGGCCCTGTCGGAGCTGAGCAACCTCTGTGCAGGCTCCTTCCCAGATGAGAGGACCTTCTACTTGGTGTTGCTGCAGCTGCAGAAGGAGAAGAGAGTCACAGTCCTCGAGCAGAACGGGGAAAAGGTATGGCGGTTGAGCTGTTCACTCCTTGACTCGTGATGATTTATTAAGTATACACTGACATGCCCGCCGGCACCTGGGCCTGGGGATTTCTCAGCATTGGTGGTAGGGGCAGCAGTAATTTCTCCCTGTCCCTCAGATTGTGAAGTTTGCCCGGGGGCCACATGCCAAGGTCTCACCTGTCAACGACGTAGATGTTGGGGTGTACCAGCTGATGCAGAGTGAACAGCTGCTCTCGCGCAAAGTGGAGTCCTTGTCCCAGGAAGCAGAGAGGTAACTACCCTTGAGCTGAATGTCCCCTGCGCTCACCCTGGCTGGTCCTCAGAGCCAGCAAAGCGTTGGTGTCTGTGGGCTTTTTTTTTTAAATATTATTATGATTATTTTTTTTTTTTTACTAATTATTAAAATACTAATTACTCAGTGTAGCAATCATGGAAAGCACAGACTATCACAAAGGAGAAAAACTGAACTGTAGTTCTTCCCCCAAAGATTACAGTTATCGATCGGCATTATGAACACTTCTGTGCCATTATCCATTTAGCTGGTATTTATTGAGCCAGGCCTTGTGTTGGGGACTTAGGGATACAGTAGTGATCAAGACAAGTCTCTGCCTTCCAGAGGCCTTTCTGAAGTATTCCTGTTCTTCCCCTGATGACCGTGCAACGTGTCTCTGCTAAAGACATATCAACTTTTCTGAGAAGTAAGATATAGGACATTGAAGTAGAATGTGCTTGTTGAGTCCATCTTATCGTGGGAGAAATCCTCCATTGTTGGAAGGCAAAGGGATATATCTGAAGTCATTGCTGGTATTAGGAACTGGCTCCCTATTTCCTGGCTCCCAAAGTGACACTGTGTTTTAAAGGTGCCTCCTTGGCATGTTCTCGCCTTGTGGGCAGTTTATCATTAGTTAGGTTGCCTTTCCCAATGTAGCTGCCCAGGCTGTGTCTCAGCTCACTGCAGAAGTTTGTAAGTGGAGGGTTGGGAATCTTTTTTTTCCCATTGGGTGGACAGGATGTAATCCTCCAATTTCAGTGACTCTTTAGGTCCCTGACACCACCCCACCCCCCACTCCATCCGATGGCATAGTCATCTTGATCGCTGTTTCTTTGTTACATAGGTGTAAAGAAGAAGCCCGCCGGGCGTGCAGAGCAGGAAAGAAGCAGCTGGTGAGTCCTCTCTGTTCCACTCAGGTGTGTGCCTGTGCCAGGCTGGCAGGGAGAGGTGCCCCAGCAGCTCTGAGAGCAGCCTTCTTGGAACTCATGGGGAATAATCTGCAGGTGGCTGAGGCACTGTGGCTTGGCACTGAGGCCTGGGACTGGCTTGTCATCTAGGGAGGGCTGTCTTCCTTGTTCCTTCAGCCTACCTCGTCTGACCCTGACCTCCTCTCCATGCTCCCTTAGGCACTGAGGTCTCTCAAGGCCAAACAACGGACGGAAAAGCGCATTGAGGCCCTGCATGCCAAGCTGGACACTGTTCAAGGCATCCTGGACCGAATCTATGCCTCCCAGACAGATCAGATGGTAGCCACTGCCCCTCTGCCCCTTTTCTTGGCCAATATCCCCAGCATGCTCTGCTTATCCCCACTGCTGAGGCTTTGTTGTTTGAAGGAGGCCAGGTTCTTTCAGGATGTGCTTGGGATTACCTTCGCCTCTTCTATTGGGAAGTTTTGGCCCCAGTGGGCATGGAATGAATCATGTGTGGGTGGCAAAGGATACCCCAAAGCTGTCTTTTGAAGGTGAAACAGTATTGTGTTGCCAGACGTTCTTCATGCCAAATGTTCTTATAATTCTGAAATTCTTCAGGATGATTCTGCTTTCTCTTTAGGTTTTCAATGCCTATCAGGCTGGGGTAGGAGCACTAAAACTCTCCATGAAGGATGTCACAGTGGAGAAGGCAGAGAGTCTTGTGGATCAGATCCAAGAGGTACAGAAAGGGGCAGGGGAGGGAAACCTATAGAGGAAGGCATTTGGGGACAGATGTGACCAGGTTTACGTCCTCTTTCCTCAAACTTGACTTTTTAACCATGTGAACTTGAGGAATCTTTCTGTGATTCTTCGATCCTGGCACATTACTTTGTAACCCTGAACATTGGGACCCAGAGTCTTTGAGTTCCACAGAAACACCATTCTGAGTTCAAGGCTCTGTGCTTTTCTTTTACAGCTGTGTGACACCCAGGATGAAGTTTCTCAGACTCTGGCTGGTGGGGTAACTAATGGCTTAGGTGAGTCCACAAAGTTACTGTCTCTTCCTAAGCGGACGTTGTTCCTGTACGTGATAGGTTTGATTCGGGTCTGCTTTTCCTGGTGCGGGCTGTGCTTTCCTTCTCCCTCCCCTCCTGGGCTTACCAAACGCCATCATTGGAGGAACCTGCCATCTCCCTGCAAGACTGTATCGATGACCCCTCGATGCTCCAGCACGCCTTACTCAGGCTTCCGACTGGAAGATCTTTCTTCAAGGGCGAGGGAAAGCAGGGGCCATTCCAGGGGTTAGCAAAATGCCTCCCTGATGACTGAGCTCTGAGAGTGGAAGCAGAGCACCTGCTTGAAGCCACCCTTTCCCTCCCAGCCAAGTGATTTTGTTATAACCTGCCAGAGGTCTGGGCATATTTTGTAAAGTTGAACAGGGTTTTATTAACCTCAGTCCTGGGCTTATGTGTCCTTATGTCATCTTTTCTTTCCAGATTTCGACAATGAGGAACTGGAGAAGGAATTGGACATCCTTCTTCAGGATACCACCAAAGAACCTTTGGATCTGCCTGATAACCCCCCTGAGACGTTTCATACCAACAGTGTGCCTAACCCTAGGATCTCGGACGCTGAACTTGAAGCTGAACTTGAGAAACTGTCCTTATCAGAGGGAGGTACGAGCTGTGTTCCCAGGGCTGCTGCTGGCCATGTGACCCTCTGGGTGAGAGTGGCTGGCACAGGGCTGATGGGCCCCAGCCCAGTTACTCAATGTGCCAGGGTACCGAAACCCTGTAAGGGGTTTGAGGATTTATTATTTATATTAAGACTCACTCCCTTAAACATTGGGATGCTTTCATCTGAAAGACTTTCCTGGTGTGCAGTGCTTGTCATTTCTTCTCCTTGCAGGTTTGGCCCCAAGCAGTAAATCTCCGAAAAGGCAATTGGAACCGACTCTCTAAAGCCATTGTAGGACCCTCAATTGAAGGACCCTCATGTAAAAGAGAGACCAGGCTTGTGTTTGTGTACATAGTTATTTAAATGAGAAACTTTCAAAACTTGTTGAAGAGGAGGAAGGAGAACCACTCTGATTTATCTGGATGCTACCACTATCAGCAGGACAGATACAACTTTCTGGAAGCGTGCTCCTCAGGCTTGCTCCCAGCTGGTATCATGGACCTGCCTTCTCATCTTTATAGTGCCACAATTTATACAGTCCTGTGTGTGACCCGTCGTCTCTCATAGCCTGCAGTTCTTGCCATTGGCTCAGTTAGGTTTGTCTTCACCCACCAGCTTTGTTCCAGCCAATGAAGGTGAAAGATTTGCAGCTTTGCCAAATCAAAGTCAGTCCTCCTCCCTTAGCCCCACTGGTTTTTAGAGACATTTATTCTGTCTGTGAGGTCAGTTAGACAACTTGTTCCGGTCCTACTCTAGTTGCATTGGTAAAAAAGAAGAATGAAAATTAAACAGCTGCCACTTTATGGAGAAACACACAACATAAGCTCTAGGGTCATTCTCAAATTCTCCAGGTATTCAGAAAAAGAGGTCGCCCCTAGGTGTCTGGGAGTCCTCACAACTGGTGGCGGGGCTTGTGTGGTTGCTGGATGCTACAGTCTCTTCCATCTTATGCAGAAGAAGACCTGACTGGAAAAAGAGTTATTCCTGATCTTTTGAACTTGAACGGAAAAGCCCAGGTGACGTCAGGGCCCCAAGTGTCAGAACCCCGTATGATTTTTTAGAAAGGCACAATCTTTGCCTTGCCCCCATCATGGAATAACTTAAATCTTTGTATCAAAACAAGCCACACAACAACACACCTCCCCTTGAGCCTGGCACACAACAATGGCTTCCTTGTTTGAATTTCAAAAGCATTTTACTTTTTCAGTGTCGCCCACTGACAGGGCAGGGAACCAAGCCAGGCTGTGCAATAGAAGCAGAAGAGGTGGCCTTCTGCCATGTCTGCTGTGTGCTTCCCTGTCCTGCTCTCACCTGTCCTGCCTCCTGAGCCCTGCCTCCCTGCCCCCTTTGGTGAACTGGGGAGGGTGGCATGGGGGACAGACAGAAATGGGTCTGAATGCTCTGGCAATGGGGAGAAGCAAAGGCATCAGCCACGCTGCACCTCTGCTGCCCCAGTACAAATGTTCCAGCCTGGGGCCCCTGTCCTTCCTGCTTGAGGGGGTGTAGAGCAGAGGAGGAATTTGCTCCAGGACAGGAGCATGAATCACTGTTCAACAAATCTCTCTCCCGCTTTCCCTTGGTAAACTGAAATATTGGGGTGAAGAGAAACAATCACTATTTTTTCTTTTTTATCTGGTAAAAGAATTAAAAGAAAAAAACCAAGTGCTGGTCCCTGTCTCTTCTTAGATTGTACACAGTTTCTAATTCCATCGTGGCTGCCCCCCTCGCGCCCAACGTGTGCACCTGGGTCCTTTGGCTAGAGGCCTCGGGACAGTGTTGAGTAGCTTCACAGTGTGACTTCTGAGCTGCTGAGGAAAAAGAGCTAACTGAGTGCTCTTGTGCCGATGCTGCTCTGGGGGAGGCTGTGTTCTTTGAAAGGCCTTGATTTTTGGAGTGTACTATTGGTTTTATTCTTTTTCATAGTCTGTTGTTTTTAAGTGACACAATTTCCTCTGCCCATATGAAAGTACCATGTCTTAGTCTGGCACCAGCATTTACTCAGCACCTGCTACTTACCTGCTGTTTACCACGTCCTGAGGGGAGGCCAGCTCAGGCTGAATGTACTTAGCAGCAGACTACCTACCTGCGCTGGGTAAGTCACCAGGTGAACCACCAGGATAGGACACCACAGGCCACACAGAGCAGAGACAGTTTGAACAAAGTGGAGAGAGGCCAGGTTCTCTGAGGAAGGCATGTTGTTGGGAACCCCACTCCCAAAAATAAGCCTCTTGCTTGCTTTTACTCTCACTGTCCTGAGCTGCTGAAGAGTCCTTGCCTAAATGTTTCCGCCTAGTTTTTTGCTGTGCTACAGGAAATGCCAAGATGTTGAGTCTGAGCTTGGATCAGAGTGAGAACAAGGAGCTGCTCTCTGGCTGTATTTTCATCACAAGATCCCCACGTGGGGTCGAGCCAAGCTTCAGGAGTCTCCTCTGGAAGAACCAGACTTAGTTTATTAAGGAGCTGGAGGGTTTTCAGATATGTTAAGCTACATTAGGACCAGATGAATCCGGACACTGCTCTCTGGAAAGTGAAGTGCCCTACAGGTTGCAGATAAAGAGCTAAGAAGTTCAGAAAATAGATAGTGAGGTTGGTGGGCTCAGGAAGAGGCTCACTGTAGGGATGACACCCAAGTTTTCATTTCCCTTGACTATCTCTTGGGTATTAAGAATCTTGTAAAGCAACCTAACAATTTCAGAAATATGCATGATTTTGTGGGGAGCAAGTAGGGAAAGCATCTGAGGTCACATAGAGAATCAGGAACTAGTTCTGTCTGGGAACCTAGCTTGGTTCTAGTTCTCACCACTAAGCGGTATATGACTTTGGAAACGCACCTCATTTTTCATCTGTAAAATGGAGCAAACAGATAAGATGACTCCTGAGATTCTGATGGCCTTAGTGCATTTATGTGCGACCCACTTCTCAAATCCCTGTGGCTCTTGATGAGTCAGAGCAGAGCCACAGCAACGTCAAGCCTGGAAGGGCGGCTGGTTACTGCTAGCCAGGGACAGCGTGCTGTTTGCAGAGAGCAGGGGTGGGAAGAGTGAATTTTGGGAGGGGAGGAGAAAGGTACCGTCTCGGAATGGCCCAGTGGAAACCTCTGAAAGGGTCTCCTAACCTGGGACCCAGGACCTGAGTCAGCACTGAAGTGACACCATTGTGAGAGGGATGAGGAAGGTTAGACTGCAGTGACAGCATTGCCTGCTTGAAGGGGTGAAAGCGAAGCCTGAACAGGCCTGGGGAAGAGATCAAAATATTCTGGTTCAATCTGCTGGGCAATCAGATTGTTGATCTGCTGGCATCTAGGCAATCCAAAAGAGAGAGAAACACCAAGCTGTCAAAAAATATGAGGCCATACCTCCCCGGTGGCGCAGCTGTTGAGTGCTGGGTTGGGAGGCTGCCGCGGCCTCCCTGCCGCCCACTGCTCCCCTCAGCAGTGTACTTCGGTCCTTCTGCTTGCTCTGCTCCCCGCTCTGGCTCTGGTGAATTCTCTCACCCTCCCGCGCTTCTGACTTTACCCAGTGCTTGTATAAATCAATCAATCAATCAATCTTTAAAAAAAAAAAAAAAGACTACTAAAAAACTAGAAACAATAAATCAGTACAACAAAGTGGCAGGCTACAAAATCAATATACAAAATCTGTTGCAATCCTATATGCAAATGATGAATTAGAAGAGAAAGAAATGAATTAAATGATCCCATTTAATTGCATCAAAAAGAAATACTAAGAAAGAACAACACATGAGTGAAAAACCTATGCAATGAAAGACATTATTAAAAGAAATAGAAGACACAGGAAATGGAAAGGTATCTGTTGCTCATGGATTGGAAGAATTAGCATTGTCATCATGGCTGTCTTACCCAATGCAACATACAGACTCAGAGGCATCAAGGCTAGGAATGCAGGTATTGCAAATAAATGTAAAATTATGGCTGGTGGAGGGGGTGGAAATGGGTTCTTGGCTGCAACACCCTCCAGACACTGGCTGGACACCAAGTCTCATTTAGGGGGAGCAACTTTTCCCATGAAGTCTGCCAGGCAGAGCCTTTGTAATTGCCTATCGTCAGGCCTGAAAGATCACACTTGGGATTTTGGGTTCTAGCCAGACTCCTCACTGGTTGTGACCTATATGTGGGCATCTTGCTGAGGGGTTGAATGAGGCCGAAATTCAATCAGGCTTCGCTGCCAAGCTGTGCACCCAGGCACGGAGCTCTGTCCACCTGGAGGATGGAGCACCTTCTTCTTATTCACACAAAGGTACCATATGGGCTGATGATGGCTCTGATCACATTAACAGATTAAAGAATTAATACTTCACAAAGTATTCAATAGATGCAGTCGAAGAATGTGACAAAATTGACATTCATTTATGATTTAATAAAACTAATAAGCTAAAATTAGAAAGAAATTCCCTTAACCTAATGAAGTATATTTAATACAAAACCACAGAAAACATCATATGTAAAGGTATAATCTTGGAAGCATAATTTCAAATTAGAAACAAGACAAGAATACTACTGCACTAACACTAAGAACAAAGTAGAAAAGTCACTGATAATACCATCCACAACAAAGAGTGTGCAGAGAAAAAGAAATAACAGCAGATGAGCAAAACATTTGTAAATAAAAAACACACAAGACCAAAATCAGGCAACGTGAATGATTATGACAAGTAAAATAAGCTGGGATGCAGACGGGTAAATGCCACAGGATCCCATCATAGGGTGAATCTAAGATAGCCAAATTATAGATCGGGAAGGTGGTAGCCAGAGGCTAGAGGGAGGGTGAAAAAGGAGGTTTTAGTTGAAGACTACAGAGCTTTGGTTAAGCACAATAAATCCTAGAGATCTGCACAGGCTAGCGCCTATAGCTGACAATATTGTGTACTTAAAATTTTGCTAAAACAATAGGTCTTCTGCATGAAATAATAGTAATTATAATAATAAAAATATAAGATGGCAGGGAGAAGCCTTTGGAGGTGATCTCATTTTAACTTAATCACCTTTTTAAAGGCCCTGTCTCCAAATACAGCCGCATTCTGACCTTCTGGGGTGAGGACTTCAACATATAAATTTGAAAGACACAACTCAGCCCATAACAAAGGTTTAACTGCATATAAAGACAGGAAGCTGGCATCAGAAGAAATCTGTTTCCACATTTACGTTGTAGATGGAGCCACACATTCCTAAAGGTTTAGGGTGAGCCAGGAAGAAAAGGGAGCAATAAAAGTGACTTATACATGAATGTGTGGATGTCAGTGCCACCTACCAAGATGGTGAAAATTAGGGTGGAAGAAACTTGAAGCTTGACTCAGGATGGAGCCTCAGGGCTTTTCAGATTTCAGGCTCTGCATAAGAAATGAAGCCCCCGAAACCAAGACAATAACTAGTGAGGAAACAGAAGCCACAAACTTGTAGTATCTTGGAAACTGAAAGAACCAGCATCAAGATGTATTGATTCTCGCCATCTCACATTTCTCAGATTCATCCCGATCTTCACTCTAAGCTGGACACCCAGCCACCCTGCTGCTGTCTGATGGGAAGCAGGCATGGGAGCTCTCCACCCCACCTGCAGGCGCAAAGGGATACATCATCTGCAGGAGTATAAAAACAATAATAAAACCAGTTTGCTTTTTATTATCACCATGTGCTGACTCTTCTAACTCTTCTAGACAATATGAGTGGCAAAAAACTTGTCTGTGAAAAAAAATTATTATTTCAAGTTCTGAATAATTCGTGTGGTTATGTAAGCCTCAAATGACACATTACTACTTATCCTTTAATAAACCTTGTGCTTGGAAGTTAATTCTAGAAACTTACAGTGATCTATTAGGCTCACAAATTCATATTCAAAGTAAGTTCTTAATGGTTTGGAATCATTAAAGTTTATTTTAGGTGTAACTCCTGTTTCAACCACTTTGATAATACATATTCTTATGTTTAAACAGTAGATTAAAAATCAGCCAGAATAGCATAGTAATTGCAAAGCAGAGTTACAGTAATTATGTCATTCTATATAATAAGTTGGAATTTTATTTATGTTCAAAATTTAATACTGTGAAAGAGTACAAGCTGGGTGGTACAATATTTTTGTTTGGTAAGTGCAAATTTTAGTTCAAATGTGGAATACGAATTTATTTAAGTTGAAATTTAATTTTGAAGTGTTAATTGTTCTTAAACTAAAAAAAAAAAAATCAATGACTACTTTGTAATGATCACAGAAAATTATTTTGTTGTATAGAAGAGGAAGGTGTTAAAAAATAACCTGCTCAAGAAAGTTTGTTCAATAAATGGTGCTGGGAAAACTGGGTCGCTACATGCAAAAGAATGAAGCTTGACCACTACCTCACACCATACACAAAAATCAACTCAAAATGGATTAAAGAACTAGACATAAGACCTGAAACCATAAAATACATAGAAGGAAATATAGGCGAAACACTACGGGATTTGCACATCAAAGACATCTTTACAGACACATCACCCAAAGCAGTGATAGTGAAGACAAAGATAAACAGCTGGGACTACATCAAATTAAAGAGCTTCTGCACAGCAAAAGAGACAATAACAAAAACAAAGAGAAACCCCACCAACTGGGAGAACATTTTTGCACACAACACTAATGATAAAGGACTGATCACAAAAATCTGCAAAGAGCTGATGAGACTCAGCAACAACAAAGAAAATAATCCAGTCAAAAAATGGGCAGAAGAGCTAAAAAGAAACTTCTCTGAAGAGGAAATGCAAATGGCCAACAGGCATATGAAAAAATGTTCAACATCACTTGTAATCAGGGAAATGCAAATCAAAACTACCATGAGATACCATCTCACACCAGTGAGAATGGCACATATTAAAAAAACTAGCAACAACAAATGTTGGCGAGGGTGTGGAGAAAAAGGAACTCTTCTGCACTGTTGGTGGGAGTGCAAACTGGTCCAACCACTATGGAGAGCTGTGTGGAGATTTCTGGACCTACTAAACATAGAGCTTCCATATGATCCAGCAATTCCACTCCTAGGTATTTACCCAAAGGACACAGAAACATCAATTCCAAAGAGCACCTGCACCCCTATGTTTATAGCAGCACTGTTTACAATAGCTAAGCTTTGGAAACAACCCAAATGCCCAAAAATAGATGACTGGATCAAGAAGATGTGGTACATATATACCATGGAATATTACTCAGCATTCAAAAAAGATAAACACATGCAATTTGCAGCAACATGGATGGCGCTGGAAGGGATCATGCTCAGCGAAATAAGCCAAAAAGAAAAGGAAAAATACCGGATGGTCTCACTCATAGCAGGAATCTAGAAAACTTAAATAAGGGACCAGGAAAATGAATATAAGAAAGTGAAAATCAAAATCAACAAAAAACTATGAACCAGAGACACTTTTTGGGGGGTGGGGGGCGGGAGGGGAAGGATTGGGGTCAGAATGGGGCGTTTGCAATTGTATGGGGGAATATAAAAATAAAATTTAATATTAAAAAAAAAAATAACCTGCTCCCTAAATATCAAATACACTATATAACAACAAAACACTCAGTATTTCACCTTTGGATATAGATATAACAAGACAAAGCTTGCTATCTCCTGGGGATTTCTATTCTTTGTATTTGAGAACTTTGTGAGGACACAAAAATCAGAGTTTCTTCTGGACAGTGTGGAGAAACTCTGGATGCCAGTCTGAGGGACATATCAGATGAAATGTGTCAGTGTTACATTAAATTAACTGATACTCCATCTGTATTTTCAAAGAAACAGCTCATTTGTGGTGTTTTATTTTACTGAGTTTCTTTTAATATTTTCTCTTTTTTCTAAAACCATAGAAAGTATGGGGCCTCCCCGGTGGCACAGCGGTTGAGCGCTGGGTTGCGAAGCTGCCGGCGGCCTCTGCGGCGCCGGTTCGATCCCCGGCTGCTCCCCGGCCACTGGAGGAGGGTCCAGCATGGCGCGCAGACCTCTCCTGCCGCCCGCTGCTCCCCTCAGCAGTATACTTCGGTCCTTCTGCCTGCTCTGCTCCCTGCTCTGGCTCTGGTGAATTCTTTCACCCTCCCCCGCTTCTGACTGTACCCAGTGCATGTATAAACAAAACAAACAAATAAATAAATAAATAAAACATGCCTCTATAAAAAAAAAAATAAATAAATAATAAAATAAAATAAAAGCATAGAAAGTAGCAATTTCCAAATATTTCTCTCTCCTCCCCATAAAAGGGGGCTGGTTGAATTGGAGGAAGTGGAATGGGGTGAATTGGAGAGTTGAATTCTGGCTTCCAGCCTAGTGTGACCCAGAAATGGTCATGTTTCCACATGTGTCATTATGTTCGGGGCTGAGCTATAGTGACTCAAAATCCACATGTTGAAGCCCTAACTAACCTTCAGTACCTCCGAAAGTGACTGTATTTGGAGATAGGGCCTGCAAAGCGATGATTAAGTTAAGTCAGGTCATTAAAGTGGACTCTGCCCCAGTGGCTGGTGTCCTTATCAGAAAAGGAAATCAGGTAAAGAGATACCAGGAGCACATGTGCCCAGATAAACAACCAAGTGAAGAGGAATCAAAAGGGCAGCTATCACCAAGCCATGGAGAGAGACCTCAGAGGAGCTACACCCCTGCCAGCACCTGGATCCAAGATGTCCAGCCTCCAGAACCGTGATAAATAAGTTTCAGTTCTTGAAGCCCTCGGTCTGTCATATTTTGTTATGACAACCCAAGGAAACTAATATATCCATGTGGCACTTGTTTGACTGGAGGATTCTGTAACTAAACTATTAGGGAGTTACAAGAATAAAACAGAGAACAGACTTTGAGACCGTTCCTCTGGGTTTGAATCCCCAGATCGGTCGTGGGTCATTTACTGAATACTGGGAGTCCAATTTTTATGGCTGTAAAATGGGGTAATAACCAGTACTTCGAGGGATTGCAATGGGAATGACACAGGGTAATGGTTGGAAAGTGCTAGGTCTAAGGAAATATCATGAGGATGCTGAGCTGAAGCACCCCCCAGTATCCCTGCTATGTAAACACTACTTTAGCCCATGTAATTTAAATTCTGCCCAAGTGGATGATACTAGGGAAGATTAGGAGATAGGAGATTTTGCAATTAAGGGGGGGTCATTTTTAAATGTCTGCTGAGTTATGACAAGCAACATTATGAGACATTTTTGAGTTGAGTCTGGGTAACTAAAACAAAGTCTAGTGTCTGTTGAGGGTCAGGTGCAGGCACCTCCAGGCCTGTTGAGGAATGTCCAGTCTGCTCAGAAAAGCTGCTTTCTGGAAGGCGCTGGAGCAAAGGCCCTGCCCAAAGACCACCCAGGATTGAAACTGGGCCCATCATGGCTCAACTAACTTTTCACCGAGTTTGCTTGTCCTTGGATCAGTCAGAATTCAAGTGCCTGACTTGCATAGTGGGCCACCCCTCACAATTTGCTGGATTTCTAACTGTGATTTGTATAACTAACCAGAGTGATAACTCTCCACCTGCCTTTTCTATGTGGGTGTAAGTCCTACCCACCCAGGCAACTCATTGGATCATGTCTGTCATTCAGTCCTAATAAAACCCCAAATAAATGCTTACATTTCACTTTTATCTGTCTCCATTCTGAGGCTACAAGTATAGAGTTGAAAAATGTTGCCACATTTGCATGTAATGATACTTGAATGACTTGGAAAGATTAAAAAAACTGTTTATAAAAATAAAATACACTTACACATATATTATAGAATTAGGCATAGTCTACGTCACAGAAAATGTATACAGAAGTGGAGAAGTTGAAGGAAACAATCCATAATGAAACCACTTAGAGATCACTGCTGCCCACTTTTTAGTATATTTTTCTTCATTATTTTTTCCTTTTTTGAAAAGATAGATGAGATGGGGAACAGAACAAGCAGAATGACTGAAATACACTATTGAGAGGAGCAGGGGAAAATCAGGAGATATCTGCTGTGCCATGTGGGTCAGCTCACCGGCTGGGAATCGGAACTCGTGTTTTTACCCCAGTTCTTGTATGCACAAATAAATAAATCCTTAAAAAAAAAATAGATGAGATGGATTTTTGGTCCATGTTTTCCCACTTAACTTTGAAACATGGGCACTTAACTATGCCCTTGCAAAGTCCTCATATTATTTTTCCTTCTGTTTCTTGGATCCCACTGAGCAACACGCTCTGATGTGGGTGGACCTTGAACTGGGGAGGCCAGATCTAAGTTTGGAGGTGGACCTGCCCGCGTATGCGGAGTCGTGTCTCTTAAGGAGTCCCTGGCTCGACCTTACAGGCTGAGAGGAGGGGTTGAGACAGGCAGTGCGCCCAGAAAACACCTTACCCAGCTGGGTTCCTACCACTCTGGCCCTTTAAGAAGGCGCTGGAACTCGGCCAGCCTGAGGCGGTGGTCTCCGGGGAACTGAGGGGCAACAGACACCCGCAGAGATTTGAGGGGGTGGGGAGACTCTTCGGCGGGGTGGCTCACCAGGAAGCCAACCAGGTAGACTGGGGACGGGGGAGGGCGGATTTCCTGCAGCCTTCCCCTTCCTTACATTTCGGGTCTACATTTCTGGAAAACAGTTCTTGCCTGTGGGCGTTTCTTCCTTGATTTCCCTGGATTTTTAGGTGGAAAAAATCCAAATATTCTCCCAACAATGATAGTTGGATCTTTTCAAGTTCCCAGCTTTCCACTTTTATTTCATACTTTGCTGGTACCACTAAGAAAATGGTAAATAACAAGGGGTTAGTGTATATTCCGGTCATATCCCAACATCAACGTGGTGTGGCCATTGAGTGTTTCCCCATTGAGTTAGATATGGTGTTTCATAGAGTTGTTCCAGGTATGAGTTTAGTAATGAATAAATAATGCTATCTTGCATTTTTGATCACTGTTAATGCTTATAATGTAAATCAATCTTCCTATTTGTGGGTTGGCTATAAAAAAATAGTGCTACTTATATCACATCTTTTTTGCCTATTTTTAAAGTTTTTTTTTTCTGTGTAATATTTTGCTGTATGTTTGGTGTTTCCATATAAGCCAATGCCCCAGGCCTCCACCAGTTACTTGGGGGAAATGCTGCCTGTTGGCTTGGCCACTCAAGAATGCATTCTGGACTTGAGGCCTAATCTGTTGTGATATCAGTGCCTTTGTGTTTACATTCTACAGCCTTCCTTTCGAGAGTTACAATATTTGTATACCATTTTGTTGTATTTTGGTTGATTAAATGTTTAAGTAAGTTAGATGTTCATGGCAAGGCTTTCTTCTCAGTTTGTGTTTATTTTGATTCATCTTTTTGTTGTCTGGATTTTTGTCTTCCGGTAACTTCCAGGAAAAATAATGCCAAAACATAGCTTAGAGACACTCCACCAGTTGGGACTGAACCACAAGTACCCCAAGGAGACAGTCATGGCGTCAGTCGTAGGTTCAGTCTTACCACTGAAAAAAGGCAAAAATAGAAAAAATATAAAAGGATTTATATTTAAAAAAGGGGAAAGAGGGGAAGGTGCTAGTTTAGGAATTGAGGTGTTTCTAGTGAAGGTGATTAGCTGGAGGCTTTCGCGGAGACCAGCCTAGGCACTCTGTTCTGAGGTAGGCTGACTGGGTCACTAGAGAGAAAACAGTTAATTGTAGATTTTCCAGAATGTCTTGTGATTTAAGCTCTGCAGGATATGTGGCCGACTCTCTGAACAGTGTCTGCCAGTGTCCTTCTGGCAGCTGTGCCTTGCATGGCCTGGGGGATACCATTTCCCTCAGCAGAATTTCTTGGGAGTTGGTTTCCAGAGTCCTTGTCTGTTTGAAAGATTTTCCTGTTATCACAATTTTAGGACTTTCTGGTCTTAACATTTTCCTTTTAAAATTCTATGGATACTGTTTCATTTTCTTCTGGTATATGAAATCTGTAAGCCACTTGATTTTTTTCTTTGTATTTGGTCTAAATATAGTTGTCTTTTTCTTTTTTAATGCCCAGAGGAAATGATTTTGCCCTGATGCATCAGCCCCCCTACCCACCCCAAGAATAAACCCCTTCAATCTGTAGATTCAAGTTTTCTGTTGTTTCAACAGAATATTGTTGAAAATTTTTAATTTTTTATTCCTCTTTCAATAATTTAGTTTTATCCAACATATCTAATTATAGATATGTTGAACTCATAATGTAGACCTCTGTATTTGTATTTTATTTAATCTCTGAGTTTTCCTTTGAATTCTATGTGGTCTTGTGAGTTTTTCATGTCTGAAAGTACCTTTTCACAAAAATTTCTTTTTCTTTTTTCTTTTTTTCTTTTAAGATTTATTTATTTATTTATACAAGCACTGGGTACAGTCAGAAGCGTGGGAGGGTGAGAGAATTCACCAGAGCCAGAGTGGGGAGCAGAGCAGGCAGAAGGACCAAAGTACACTGCTGAGGGGAGCAGCGGGCGGCAGGAGAGGTCTGCGCGCCATGTGGGACCCTCCTCCTGTGGCCGGGGAGCAGCCGGGGATCGAACTGGTGCTGCAGAGGCTGCGGGCAGCCTCGCATCCCAGGGCTCAACCGCTGCATTACCAGGGAGGCCCTCACAAAAATTTCTTAAATTATATTAGCCTGAAAGCAACACATTTAAATATCTAGCTATCATGTTTTCAATTTCTATCTATAAATATTGTAATTTTACTTATGTATCTAATATGTCTTGTAGAAATTAAAGCAACTTTGATAAATTCAAAATGACAGTATTTTCTGAACAATTTTACTCATATTTATTAAGTTTAATTAACCATTGACTCTGAACTTATATATCTGATTTTATTTTTATTAATTCTAAATTTTTATTGAGCAGGAGTCACATGCAATTTTAAGAAATAATACAGAGGTCCCACGTACCCTTTATAACCTTCCGCCAAAGGTAATTCCTTTCAAGTTATAGTATAATATCACATCCAGGATTTTGACAATAATACAATCCACCAATCTTATTCAGATTTTCTTATTTTACCTGTACTCATTTTAATGTCTGTGTGTATTTGGTTCCATATAACTTTACTACATGGGTAGGTTCCTGTATCCACCATCAGGGTTGAGGTGTAGGACTCAAGGATTCCTCCTTTAGTATCTTTATCAGATAATTTATCAGATAATTTCTGGCAAACTCACTTCTTTTTTTTCTTTTATATATTTTTTACATCATTCTTAATTTTTGCACAATGTATGCTTTCTCCTCTTAGGTGTAGCCCCCATGAAATTCCCACCACCAATTCACCTGTGCACCATCACCATAGTCCCTTGTGCTATTTCCAACTATTTTGATCCTACTCTCTCATTTCTGACCTTGTTTTTTTCATTAAGTCTGTGATCTTCCTAGCATGTGGTATTATGAGTTATTTTTGATTGAATCCTGGACATCTTGGGTGTTATAAGATTCTGGGTCTTACTAAATTTCGGTTGTAGTTTTCTTCCACTCTAGCAAAGGGATGGGGGAATTGCCTTCTCACTGCCAAATAAGGATCAAAGTTTGCTTTTTACTGTCAGGTGGGGTTTAAAGTGTAGGTTCCCTAGTCAGCTTCCATACATCTGAACTGGGGGCTCCTTATTACTTCAGGGCAGGGGTACAAGTTCTGGCTGTCCATGAGGCCTTCACATACACTTCCAAGGCTGGGAGGGGTAGAAGTACCTTCCTGCTGCTCTCCATATAGCCTCCACTGGCACCATGGGGTGAGGTGGCATCTTGCTTGGTTGGGTAGTTATCACAGTTCTCTGTCCACTGGGCAGCCTCTGAAACCACAGTAAGCAAAAAGCAGGTGGTGCAATAGACTTTACTGCTTTTTGTTGTGTTTCCTCACCTCTTAATGGGTAAGGCCTAGCCTCACCTGCTGTCTCTCCCTGAATGTATGGGCTGGTGTGCCTTGATTTCCTACCCCATGTAGGCCTCCCTCCAAGCCCTCCACTAATGGTATGTGTGGCATGCTTTCTGTCCAGCCTCTAAGTTACTGAAGATGGTGTGGTAGACATGGGGCTGGTGGGCAGCCTTCCTCTGTGAGCAGTCTTTTTACCGAGGCTCTCAGAATAGGTTGAACATCTCTATCAGGGGCCAGTTCTAAATAGGTGGGGATGTGGTTTGTGTGCTGGGATTTTTTTTGTTCCTCTATTTAGGGGTGAGATAGCCATGTTGTTGAGAAAGTTGGGCCTTGGTTTTCTGAGTGAGCATGCTGTTTCTTGAAGGTCATACCTGATCCATAGCTGCTAAGGGGGCTGACCGCCCTGTCTTACACCTTTAGTCAAGGACACCTGCTCAGATGAAGCAGTGAGTGTGCCCACTCAGCATTCTCTCCAGATCAGCTCCTGCTTCAGTGAAGCCACTGTGGAGTGTGGGCAGAACTGTTGGGGTTGGAATTCAAGTGGGTGCCCCATCCTTCCTGCTGCTCACCTCCCCGCCCCCCATCTCCTCCCTCCAGGGCCTGGATCCCCTGTGAGCAGGGAGAGGGAACATATCAGCCCTTTAGAATCTCCTCTCTCAACCATGCCCAGAAAGTAGGCTCATGTCTTGACTCCCTGAGTTCCCTCTGCACTTAGTTTTGCGTTCATTCTAAGTCCTTTATATCATGAATGACTATGTGGAAACATAAGTTTTTGTAAATGGATAATGCCCCCTGCTTTTAAAGAAACACTGAGGAAAATTGCAAGAAAGCAAAATACATCTTAATTTTTCTCCACTTTTCTGTTCCCAAACCTCTTCTCCTAACCAGGCATCCCCCTGATGCCTCCTATATCCTACTGCAGGGTCTGCTCAGACTGCCCCACCCCTCAACTCACACCTGGGTCTTAAGTGCTATTAGCTTAGGGCCCTGCTTTACTCTGGGCTTCTGGATTCAGGATGATCAAGGGCTTACATTTTAGCACCTTTCAGGGAGCAGGAGAATTTCAACCCAGGCCTAGACTTTAACAGCCTGCTGACGCAGATGCCTGAAATGACAAGAATTTCAAGCCCCATTTCAGTGGGAGTGGGAGTTATTTCTGGATGTAGGGGGGTAGTATAAGATGATGACCTGCAAATCACCATGTTGGTGGCTACCTCACCCAGTTACCCATAAGGCTAATAAACCTTGCTGAAAGCTGGGCTTCTTTGCAGGTTCCATCAGCGAGGACAGTGATGGGCAAGAGAAATGAAATACCCGGTGACCAGGGACTTCCTCCCTCCTTATCCCCATGTGATGTCCCTAGGGAGGGCGGGGGCTAGTAGACTGGTAAATCTGACTCCCCGACGCCCCCGCATATAGCTGCCCCTGGAAAATGTTGGCTGAACTCAAGTGATCCCGAGGGGGCAGTGTGTAATGAAGGTCACGGGGAAAATCAGGAGCGGGCTTTTTCTATTTTTTCTGCGATGCCTCCCCCGGGCTGCGCGGGGGCGCTGCGGCCTCGCCGGGTGCCCGCGTTCTCGAGCGCGTAGGGGAGCACAGGCTTCTGGAACCCTCAGAGCGGCGGCGGCGGGAACCAGGGGCGCAGCGCGGGTGAGTGCGGGGTGCGAGCGATGGGTCCCCCAGCTCCCGCCTGGTCCTGCGTCTTCCCGGCCTCCGGCTCTGCGCCGGGGAGGGGAGATCGGGGTCTGGGATCGGGAGCCCGCCGGGGTAGAAGCCGGAGCCGCGCGCCCGGGGGCCCCCCAGTCCGCGCGCGCGCTGAGCACTGGAGCAGGGCCCGGACTGCCTTGCCTGAGGACCTGGCACGGCCCCTCCCCGCCGAGGCGCTGGCCTGCTCACTTGTGGCGGAGAGGCCTGGGTCGCCATGGTCTCCAGGACCCGCTCAGCACCGAGGTTGCGGCGCTGTGCGTGGGCCCAGAGTCTGTGCTCTAATCTCTGCCCTGTGCACCGCCCCACAGGCTCTCCCACCTGTCACCCTGGCCCTTATCTGCTTGGACGGCGTATTCCTTTCTGCAGCTGAGAATGACTTTGTGCGCCGGATCCAGGAGGAGCTGGACCGCTTCCTGCTGCAGAAGCAGCTGTCAAAGTAAGTAGGGTGGGGGCTTTGGTGGTTGGGGTGGGGGGAGGTGGCGGGGCTGCGACTGCCACTGTCTCTTTTGCTGCTGGAGCCCCCGCCCCAGTGATGCAGTGGAGGTAACTGGTTGGCAGCTGGCTCTGACTTTTAACCTTATAGGTTTAATAACCTGCCCTCTGCCTTTTCCAGCTGCATTTTTGTCTGTGTAATTCTGATCATCATCTGGAGCCTAAAGGGGCCCAGCACAGGGATGGGCGTGGGGCCAGATGCTGCCTGTGATAATCTCTATGCTCTGGCCCTCTGCAGTTGACTGAGATCCAGCTGGGCAGAGGGAGCCAAGTGTTAACACCCTTTAAGCTTGGACTTGACCTGGTGGGGTCCAGAGGCTGCACCTGGAACCCTGCTCAGCACCGTTTCCATCCCTTCCCAGGGTACTACTTTTCCCCCCACTCTCCAGTCGTCTCCGGTACCTGATCCATAGGACAGCAGAGAATTTTGATCTTTTGAGCAGCTTCTCTGTTGGGGAGGGCTGGAGAAGGAGGACCGTCATCTGTCACCTAGACATCAGGTGTGTTTACTGTCCTCATGGAAAACCCTCAGTGTTGCTTGTGGGTGGTGGGGTGAGCTGGTTGACCTGTGGGAGGGAAAAACTTGTCCAGAACTGGAGTCAGGCTGTTGCCTCAGTTCTTTAAGGACAGTCAGTGCTGCCTTTTGCTTCAGCAGTGGAATAGCTGTGCATTGTTTGTGAAATTCATTTAGCAAATTCCACTATGTACGTTGGACAGAAAGAGAGGCACTTTAGAGAGTGGGCCTGTCTGACATTCCTCTCAGTAAGCTTGTGCCCCAGACATGCCATGGAATGTGAAAGCATGTCTGAGCCTTCATTTGTCTGTTTCTATCTGCATTTCACAGGATTTTTTTTATAATGATATGCTCCTTGTGTTTTAGATAGTACTTTATAACACAGTTCCAGAATGCAAGCATTACATTACCTGGTGTGTAACCAAAGACCCAACTGTCTTTAGTATGGTTTACCACCCTGAAGGGGCGCTGACTGCTTTGGGCTTGTTCAGAGGTGGCATTCAGCCTCCACCATGATTCCCTCTTTGGATTTTCCTAATGCTGCCTTGAGAGCCTCGTGCCTGAAAGGCAGGTGGCTGCAGTGAACCATTTACTTGGGGCCCAGACACTGCTCTCATCACCTCTCCTGTTCTTGCTCCAGGTTACCCAGTTCAGACGGCCCCTGCCGCCCTCCTGCCTCCCAACCTGGCAAGTACCGAGGTCCTCGGCCTGCCTCAAACCAGGGAGTAGCTGCTGGGGCCCGAGGGGCACGGACCGGCCGGTGGCAGCGTGGACGTAAGCCGGACCGGGCTTTGTATGTGCCCCGGGTGCTACGCAGGCAAGGAGAATGGGCCTTGGCGCCTACTCCAGGGCACCAAGGAGACGCTCCAGCTGGTGGGTTCGTGGAAGAGCCTGGAGATGTTGGTGCTAGCGAACCCAGTTCTGATCAGGAACACCCTGAGTTGATGACTCAGGCAACAGAGGACCTAAAGGACCCAGGCCAAAGTTGCGAGAATGATTCGCTGCCGGACCCTGTTGGCACTGAGCCCCCGAGGCCTGAGGACCACTCAGGGATGGGAGACAGGTTGGAGACAGTCACACAGTTTGAGTCCGGTCTGCAGCTCAACGTGGAAGAGGGGACAGGAAGTGAGTTGGAGAAGAGCCTGGCAGCAGAGGAGGAGGAGGAGGAGGAGGGGCCAGGAAGCTGCTCCGAGGATGATTGCAGTGAATTGATGCAGGAGGTGATGAGACTTTTAAGCCTGGAAGAGGGAGGGTGGCAGTGAGGTGGGTGTGGCTGTGGGGGACCAAGGGTCATGGTGTGGAGGGGCCTGATGAGCAGGATTGGTGCAGGGAGGATGCTTGCCCAAAGGAGTCAGGGCTGAGAGAATGGAGGGGAGGAGCAGGACAAGGAGTCAGGAGAATGGACTTGGGCCTCAGCTTCACCATGCAGGAACTCTGGGACTATGGGCAAGCCGTTTTGCTTTCTGTAGTCTCAGCTTCCCCAGCTGGGGAAAGCAGGCAAAGATAAACTCCCCAGGTCACAGGGATAGTAGGCACATGTATGTCGGCTACAGATTCTACAGCGTTTCCGTCAGTAATGGGCCGCGTAGACGACAGTGGTCCCAACCAGGTCTGCCGTGCCTCCTGGTGTGTGGGGCTAGGTTTCTGTAACTACGCTTGCTGGTTGCACAGTCACCGAAGCATTTCTCAGAATGTGTTCCTGTTGTTAAGTGACACCTGACTGTTGATGTTAGTCATGAAGATTACTCTTTTACTTGAACTTCTGTCTTAGCAAGCCTTGTTTCCTTGGAATTGTGTCTGTTTCCCTGAGGCTGGCAGTGGTGTGCGCTGGGGAGGGTGGGCATCTTTTCCTGCTTTCTAGATGGATGACAGAGACTGGAACGACTTACTTAATTGTACATCCTTAGTAAGGGAAGGACAGCTGCTGGGCTGCCCAGCTCTGTTTCTTTCTTTTTTTTTAATAGAGGCATGTTTTATTTATTTATTTGTTTGTTTGTTTGTTTTGTTTGTACATGCACTGGGTACAGTCAGAAGCGCGGGAGGGTGAGAATTCACCAGAGCCAGAGCGGGGGGCAGAGCAGGCAGAAGGACCCAAGTACACTGCTGAGGGGAGCAGCGGGCGGCAGGAGAGGTCTGCGCGCCATGTGGGACCCTCCTCCGGTGGCCGGGGAGCAGCCAGGGATCAAACCGGCGCCGCCGGCAGCTTTGCAAACCAGCGCTCCACCGCTGCGCCACTTGGGAGGCCCCCAGCTCTGTTTCTTGCTGACTCTGTAACTTTGGGCAATGTGACATAACTCTTTTGACTTAGTTTCCCCATTCATAAAGCATAAAGTATTTAGAACAGAGCTTTGAGGACTCTGAAACAAAGTGTGTGAGGGCCAGTGGGGACTCTGTAAAAGTGAGCTGCCTCTTAAAACTTCCGCTTCTCATCTTCCGGCTGAGTCTGGGGTCTGGACTCCTGCCCCATGGGCGCTCTTCCTGCCTGGAGCCCACTCCGCTCGGTGTGGTTCAGAGTGGTGGTTAGGAGCCATGTTGTACAGCTTCCTCACTGAAGTGTCTGGTTTCTCTCAGATAACGGACAACCTGACCAAGAAGGAGATTCAGGTGGAGAAGATCCATGTGGACACGTCCTCCTTTGTAGAGGAGCTGCCTGGAGAGAGAGATTTTGCCCACGTGGTGGAGATCTATGACTTTGAACCTGTGCTCAAGACTGAGGACCTGCTGGCAGCATTCTCAGAGTACCAGTGAGTGCTGGCAGGCTTCAGGGAGGCAGAAGAGGAGGGTGCCACCTGCTGGAGAGGAGCTAGGACTTCCCTTTGTAGTGGGGACACTTGCTCACCCTCCCCCATTGCCTAGTGGCTGCTTTGGGCTCTGCTTCCTGGGCAGCTCCACCTGCTGGCCGTGACAGAACAGGAGCGTGGGGTTTGGGTTGTAGACATGTCCAGAGGCCCTAGATCTGGCAGTGCCAACACAGGGTGGCAGGCCTCTGTCCTGCCTGGGGCATGTCCACATGTCTGCCAGAAACAGGTGGGGACCTTTGTCAGGATGTTGGATGTGGGCAACCCCCCCCACCCCCTTGCTCCATGTCCCCTCCACTCAGTCAGTCAACAGACAGGGCCATCCTGTGTGGAAACTATTTCTGGTGAGAACTGGGCTTGACGGCCCTGGGGTGAAGTCAGGGTGGAGATGGGAACCAAAGGGATATATTAGAGAAATGTCTTCTGTTTCCTCAAATTACCTTGCATCCAACCTTGGAAAAAACAGCTTCCCCTCCCCTCCCTGGGCCTGAATGTAGGGAAGCTGAAGGGACCACTGGGGAGGCCTAAGGGGCGCTCCTTTCTTTCCTGAAGGCATGGGCAACGCCCCCCTGACCCTCCCCCTGACCCCTGCACATCAGTCCTCTTGTTTCCAGCGCTGGACCCCATGCCCTTGTCCTGGCTTGGATAGCGGCTCTGTGAGGAACCTTCCCGCACTCAGCATTACCCACTATGATCTCCTTGAGTCCTGGCTTCTTCAGGTCTAGGCACGGGACTCTCCTATCAACAGGGGTGAATCATATGGTGTCTGAGGAAGTGTCCCTCCTTTCCAGGGGAGGTGGGCGCTTGTCTTGGCTCACAGGGTTGGAGGCTTGGAGGTGGGAGAGGACTTCCTTAGGCAGGAAGGGTTCAGCCTATTTGATTGCATAATCATTCTGTCTTCTCTTCCTCGGCACAGAGAGAAGGGGTTCAAGATTCACTGGGTGGATGACACGCATGCACTTGGCGTCTTTCCCTGCCTGGACTCAGGTAACGTTGCTTCACGGTGGGCTCAGCCCTTCCTCTGACTGCTCCTGAGTGAGGTGGTTTCTGTGGGTGGTTGCATCCCATGTCCAGGATGCAGGTGGACTGCGGGGCTCACTCCCAGCTCACCTATTCCAGACATTGAGGGGGAGCAGAGCAGCTCTGAGCTAGGAAGCTCACAGCCTTTCCTCTTCCTGTTACTGCCTTTAGTTCAAAGGATCCTATTCGGGTAGGTGACATGTACTGAGCACATGAACTTCCACCTGTCAAATTAAACCATATGAAAATGCTGTTTTTATGGGACACAAGCATTCAAATACTGGTAATTTCATTTGGTTCAAGTAGATACATTCTCATTCAGCTTTTGTTGCAGCCTTGGGAGCTATTCAGATTACCTCCATTTTACAGATGGGGAGACAGGTTTTTCCAAAATGACTGTGGTCTATGCAAGGTTTTGATGCCTCCTGGTGCAAAGCTCTAACTCCAGTGCCCCTTCTCCCTCTGCTACCCCACTGCTCACTTTGGGTGTCTTTATAGAGTAACCACCCACCCCACCTGGCTGGGCTTCTCAGAACCACCGCCTCTGAACACTAGAGCTGGGAGCATTCACAGCTAATGGGGCTCAGTGCTCAGGGAACCTTGAGGTTTCAGGGAAGGGGGATGGCATGGTGGGGCCACCAAGTCCAGAGACACCGAGAGGGGAGCCGAGAGGATGCCCAGGGCCATAGAAAGGGGCCTTGGTTGCCACTCGGTGACATGAGCCAGTCATGTCCTGGTCTTAGTTTCCTCATCTGTAAAAGGGTGGGTTCACCTTAAATTCTGCCAGCTCTGACATGCTTGGGCAGTAGCCTAAGTGCTTCACAGCCCACAGCTCAGATCAGGGAGGGTCTGGAGGGGGAGAATTTTGAAGGTGGGGGCCTGCTTCTGTCAGAATTACAGCCTTACTGCTGGGGCTTCTGATGTGCAGGCCGGGAGCATGGAAGCTGGCTGCTGCACAGGTTTTCCATCTGGGAGCGCAGGTGTTCCCTGGCACAACCTTTGGGTTGTGGGGTCGAGGCGAGCTCATGGAGGTCATCTCTTGGCCTGCCGGGGTGGTGTCAGGGAACCCTTTCCTGAAGCTTTGAGCACGCTCATGAAGCAGCTGCATCAATTTTAGGTGGTAAGCTAGTTTTGGGGGGTCTCACCAGGAGGAGAGGATGGTTCCAGATTACTTTTTCCCCACAGCTGCTGAAGCACTGGCCAGGGAGTTCTCAGTGCTCAAGATTCGGCCCCTCACACAGGGAACCAGGCAGTCGAAGCTGAAAGCCCTTCAGAGGCCAAGTAAGACCACCTGTGTGGGGAGGCGTGGGGGTGGGTGTGGTTTGGCGGGGGTGGGGGGGTTGTAAAAGGGGTTGAGGGGAGCTTCCTCTCACATTTATTTCCACTTCTTTGATTCTCTGCTTTAGGATTCCTGTGGTACAGTAGCCAATAGGGTGCTTCTTCTACTCCCCAGGGGCGTGGGGTTGCCGAGGAAGGAGGGTCCCATCAGGGAGTGCTAAATCCTAGGTGCTTTCTTCTGGACGTACCCTCCCTTCACACCTCTTCTGGTTTTCAGGGAGAGGCTTGCTCTTTTCTGTAAGACCCTGGAAATCAAATTTTGCAGTAGGGTAACAAGAGCCTGGACTTTGGGGTCAGCCCTAGGTGTGATCCGGGCTGTCACTTTAAGTTGACCTTAAACAAGTCACTTGATGCCATTGAGTTATTTCTCTTTGTGTAAAATAAGCAGATGGTACAGAGTAGACTCTGTACGAGAAGAGAATAGAAGAGCATGCCAGGGCAGACCTGTCTGGAGCAGTGAGGGGCATACAGAAAGTGCCAAATAAATGAGAACCCCTCCCCTTTCCTCGTCTCATTCCAGAAAGTTTGATGGGGGCTTTCAGATGCCAGTTTTCCATGGCTTCATAGTTGCAGCTGCCAAAACTGACCTGGAAGAGACCTGCTGAGGCTGTCCACACCCTCGTGGATTATATGGTCTTTGTCCTGGACTTTTTGGGGACAGTAAATAGGCCATCAGTCCAGAGTTTCTAGGCGTCCCATCCTGACTTGATTTCCCTCCCAAAGGGCCCTACAAAATGGGGAGGTTGACAGAATTCTGCCCACCCCTACCACCGAAATTAGGTGGGCTTAGGAGGTGGCAGGGCTGGGTTAGGCCTCCATAGGAACCAATGTGGAGAGGATGGACTCCTCTTACCAGCCTCTGGCCACACTCCAGGACACTGGGCCTTGGGCAATGGCTCTGATGCTGTGGTGTTGTTGGGAGAAAGGCAGCTGCAGCCTTGAACTCAAGTCCCCACATTGTGGGGCTTTCCTTTCAGAGCTCCTGCGTCTGGCAAAGGAGAGGCCACAGACAAATACAGTGGTGGCCCGCAGGCTGGTGGCCCGGGCCCTGGGACTACAACGCAAAAAGAAAGAACGGCCTGCAGTCGAGTGTCTTCCTGCCCAAGTCCCTGAGAGCCCAGCCAGCCCGGATCCGAGCCCTCAGGCCTGAGCTGGTGCCACACCACAAGCCTTTACAGACACCAGAACAGCCCTGTGCTATCCACGGGGGTTCACTGAGAGGTGTGGTAGGCTTTTAGTTTGGTCTAGTTCCAGAAGTTGAGAAAAAAATAAAAATTTTTTAAAAATGTTATGCGATTTCTTTAAGATCTTCAACTGTGGGACACTAGGGGGTGCTGTTTGTCTCATTTTAGACATGGGGCTGCTGAAGAAATGGGTCCCACTAGACTGCCTAGGGGATCCCAGCCAGGCCTAGAAGGTGTTTTTGCACAGAACCTACAATACAGGAGGTATGTTGCACCTGTTGTGTGACCCCTGCCCAGACCCCCCCCAACAAGTCAGGTAGCCTAACCTGCTGCCATGTGGCTGCCCCACTGGGTGCCAATAGCAGTGCCTAGGGCCTGGCCCCTGGACTGGTCCCAGCCTGTCTTCCACTGTGGGTTGCAACAGGGCTCCTGGCAGGACTACACGTGGACACAGTCGGGGTGTTGTTGGGAATGCTTCCCTCCCAGGAACACCTGAGGTGAGAGCATCTGAGGACAGGATCCCAGCATGCTCATCTTGATGACAGGGTGGCCCTGGGCGTTTCTAGCTTCTCCTGGACTGCTCTGACTTGGAGGCCACGGTGTGCTCTTAATCCTAGCAGGAGCTACCGTGTTCCTGGGAGTGGTTGTCTTGGTGTTTACCTTCAATGTGGTCAGCCCAGAGGAGTCCTGCTTGGCCTGTGCCTCTGCTCTGCATCACCGCCCCTTCCCTGCCCTTTGAAAGGGAGGCGTCCTGAGATGGTTTAAATCTAGATGCCCCATCTAGCCCTAGTACAACGGCTGAACACCCTGATAAATTTCAGTAGATCACGAGAGTTCAAGGAAGGCTGTGACTTGTATGTTTGTAAACTTTCGTGACTTGCCGATTTGCTTCCCCCAGTGGGCAGCTGCTCCTCTGTGGTATGTAGTGAAGGAGCCCCCCTGGGAACCCCTCTCTGCAGGAGTGAACACTCCTAGCTAAAACAAGAGCCCTGCTGCTCAGGGGCTTGGTGCAGGGGTTCAAATGAAACACAGATGCGTATCATAAGTCTTTTATTGGAAGTTTCAAGTATGTGTAAGTGTCCATGATGATGCATGGTGTTTGGTGAGTGTCCTCATCACCCAGGACTGTGGTTATAGCACCGCTGATCAGTTACCCACAATTGGAACAACAGAATGATGAGTCACTTACATAGGTGAGTTGGTTTTGCTTTTGAGCTATACTTTCAAAGGCCCAGATGCCCAATATGAAATGCCACGAAAAACACTTTGTGTTTCAGTCTTGCAAATAGAATCATGGTATCTTGAAAAATAGGAGCTGGGGACAGGGGTGAAGCACCAACTCTGAGCTCACCTATTCGTATATGTGAGTAAAGTGGAGTTGAGTAGAGGCAGTTTGTTTATCTGGAAGAGTCTAGATATTCAAGTTTGCTGGAGAGGCCCTACGAGGAGAAGAAATGGAACAGCTGGACAACCTTGGGTTGACGAGCTCTCCTTTGCCAACATGTAACTCAAGAGGCTGGGCCCTCCTCATCTGTGGTGGCTGGGTGGGTGGTGTCATTTTCAGGGCAGGCTGTGGTATGGCTGGGACAAGCTGATGACAGCCTTGCCCCTGGGGTCCTGGGCAAGATGGCCCTTGTGCTGTTCCCACAGCCCTGTGGATGAGCCCCAGCCCCTGCAGGCACCACATGCTAGGCAGCCACCCCCAGAAATGTCAGGAACAGGCTTCTTCTGAGCTTGGGTGAGCTGCGTAGGTGGAGAAGGGGCAGATCGGGGCTGGGCAGGGCTGGTGTGGCATCGGGCAGACTGCAATTGCTGGGGAAGGCATTTGCTCGGTGGTCTGAAGCAGGTGACCATGTCGGCTCCTTTACCATGGGGAGAGCTGGTTATTTGTGAGTCCACTGTAGTGTTCAAACTTCTTTTCTGTCTCTTCACTGAAGGAACCACCTGAGGGCGGGGGATTAGGAAGAGAGTTTGTCAAAGCAGATGCTAAGCCCGCCAAGCTAGAGGGACACCTGTCAACTTCAGGGCCCTGGGGGCCACCGCCCTCCACCAGGTGACCTGTAAAGGATCACCTCTATATGAAGCCACCAGGGCAGCAACGAGGGGCTGGTCACATCTGGGGCTGGGTGCAGGTCAAGTGCTCTTTTGATGCGGAGTGAGGGAGTGACAACATAGAATGTATGTCTCTCTGCCTTGGCCAAGGCTCAGGGCCATCACTTCGACGGCAGAAGAGAAACCTTGCCTCCCCTTTTGTTCTTCAGATTGTAAATGCAAGTAGTCTCTCTACTGGGCACCAGAACCAGCAGTGGCTCATTAACTTTTAGTTCCTGACAGGAAAATGATACACAGCCCACAAATTGCTGATGCCCACATTTTTGAGGTCACATGCATAATGAGGTGGTGGCCTCAGCTCCAGCTCTTAAATAACTTTGGGTTCTGTGCCGCCCTCTCTCCTTGGCTGAGCTGGCTGTGAAAACCCAGCCTCCATCCAGGCCTGAGGTGTCTGCTTGTGAAAATGGGAGGCCGGCTGTGCTCCCTAGCCCTTCCAATCGAGGAGGCTGCTCTGTTCTTTGAGAAAGTAGGGCAGCTCCTGCCTGTCTCCTGCAGGGGTAGGCTGCGGGGAGCCTGGCAGGCTGGGGGGCAGCGCTGGGGGTGCCAGGGCCTTACCTATGTGGCAGTTGTACATCCAGATGCGGTGGCCATCGTAGCGGGTCCTGCACTTCATGATGTTGTTGGTGTAGTCAGACTCTGCAACCTCGTAGTTGGGATTAATGATAACCTGGGGAAGAATTGAGTCTGAGGAGCTTGAGAGTCTTAACTGGGGGTGGGGGGTTTAGGGGGAAACCTACCCCTAAGACCAGCCCCGCCTCCAGAGCTGGGTGTTCTCGTGCCAGGGAACTTGGGGGGCGCTGTGTGCCAAGAGCCACTAAGGGCAGATCTGGCCAGAGACGAGGGCAGTAAGGCAAAGGGCCAAGGCCTGTCCCATGTTCTTCATACATACACCCTCTACCAAGGAGGCCCTCCAAAAGGGGTTACCGCTCCTGCGGTAACCCTAGGAGGCTTGAGGTTGATAGAGTAGCATGAATTGGGGTCTGGGGAGCCACAGAACAGGCTGCTGATAGGAGTTAGGAGGGGCTGGGGAGCAGAGTGCATGGTAGGTGGGGACAGGACTTGGTGTGGGCAGTGTGGGGAGAGTTACCTGGGCCCTGGTGTCGCTCTCAGCCTCTTCAAGCCCTTCCTGCCTGGGATCCACGGGAAACAGCCCCTGCATCCCCATGCACCCCTTCCTCTGTATTGCCCCACCTAAGAGGGTGTAGCCCAAAGGAGCAGGAATAGGAAGGGTCATCATTTTGAGAGGGTTTCTGTGACAGAAAAGGGAGATTGGGGCAGAGAAAAAGAAAGGGTGGGAGGTGTGAAGAGGTAAGAGTGACATTTGGAGCTGAGGGCAAAACTTTAGAGGTCATGTGTTCTGGGCCTCTCAGGACCCTGCTGCATTGTGGGGGGGGGGGGGTTTGACCTGGGGCCAAGGGCTGCCCTAGCGAGTGGTGATGGGAGCAGCTGAGTAATAGAGGAATGCTCTCCAGGTTTGGGGCCCTCAGGAGCCTGGACATGACACTTTGGCTGGCTTGGACGACCAAGATGCTGTGGGGAACAGGCCAGCATGGTCCAGCCCTGGGTACTGCCCAACACCTGCTATTCTGGGCAGCCCTTGTATGGCTCTGCTTGCCAGGCCTGCTCTGGGCTGTGTCCCAGGAGTCTCTGCTCCTTCATCTGAGGAGAGTAAATATACCAGTCCTGAGGGCCTTGCTTTGCTTTGCCTCGTTTCCACCTGCCAGTTGCTGTCCAGTCCCCCAGCCACACCCAGCTCACAGTGGGGGGTCACACACACTGTGCCATGAAGCCTGTACCGCTGCTTGACTTGGATCAGCTCACTAATAGCCACACCCCAAGGGAGCCCCCACGGTGCAGCCCTGAGGGCAGGGCTAGGGGTTGAAACACATCATCTCTACAAACCATCCCACTATCATCTCTGAATCTTGTGAGGATCTGTGGGAAGTGGCTTTAGTTTCTTAGATAAAAGATCTGCTGTGACTTCGGGAAATGGTGAGGATGAGGACAAGCAAGGCCATCAGGAAAGGAGCCCACTGAGCCCTGCCTCTGATCCCCGGGGCGCAGGCCCTCTGCCCCGAGGCCACTTCCTCAGTCCAGCTGTCTCCTCCCTGCGCAGCTAGTGGTGTCCGCACTTGGTCCACATGGGAATGGAGATGGCCAGTGAGTCCCAGGCCAGGGCTTTCATGCATCTAAAGCGCTGTGTGTGTGTGTGTGTGTGTGTGTGTGTGTGTGGTGTGTGTGTGAGTTTGTGTGTGTGTGTGTGCGTGTGTGTGTGTCTCCCCCAAGGGAAACATTCTTTTCCATTAATCAGAGATAATTACATGACCTACTGAATTAATTTGCTAATTGTATAGTTTAGAGGGTCAGGAACACAGAATGTAGACTTGATGTGGCCTGGGTTTGCCGAGCTGGAAAATGAGGGTGATAGTAATGCCTCTTCGTCAGGGACTAAATGAGACAGTGCACGCACAGACATCTAGGCAGGGTCTCGCCATTGTCAGTCTTCAATGAGCCGTAGTTATTGAAGAGACGGCGTTTGTCAGAATACATGCATCAAATACATACTCACCCAGAGAAGTGACAGCCAACCTCAAAAAATAAGCCACCACACACTGTGTACCTGCCTAGAGACACATTCGTTTTTAGAATAAGAGCCCTCTGCCCTTGGGTCTCTTTGAGCCTGCGGTTCTGGGCATGTGGCTGGAAGAGTTTGTGGCTGTCTGATTTCAGTCTCTGAAGCTGCACAGGGAAACTTTCAAAGCCACTGAGGGCAGCTCTCTGCAGGTGTTGGTTCCTCCCAGAGCTGTATGTAGGGTGGGGACCATGGCCCCGGTTTGGCTAAATGCCCCCTTGGGAAAGCAGTCAGGGTGGAACGACACATTTCTGGTCACCCTCTTTGCCACCCAGCTGAGCAAGCTTAAAAGCAAGATGGGTGGGGATGTGGGGAAAATGAGAAAGCAAAAAGTCTCTGCAGCAGGAATGCACCTGTGTACCAGAAGGAGCCTAAGATTAGGGTCCCCCTGGTCTCCCCCACCAGTCAGTGCCCAGATTGGCGCACACAGCTGTTTGCAGGAAGGTGGGAGGCCGAGGCCCCCTGGTTCCTGCGCAGGGCTGGTCTTGTGCTTGGGCAAAGTAGAGACTCTGAGAAGTCCCCGGAGACACAGGTGCTTCTCTCTGGACCCTGACTTTCTACTATTATGGTATGAGTTATTTTGCCTTGAGGACTGTCCACTCCGCACATCCTTTTATGAGGCAAACTTCTGGGAGAGGCAAGTTACAAACACTTGCCCGTGAATGGCTTTTTTTTTTTTTTTTTTAAAGATTTATTTATTTTTATACAAGAACCGAGATACAGGCCAGATGTGCGGGAGGGTGAGAAAATTCACCGGAGACAGAGCGGGGAACAGAACAAGCAGATTGACTGAAATACACTGCTGAGGGGAGCAGCGGGTGAGACAGGAGAGGTCTGCCGCGCCATGTGGGATTCTCGCCGGCCGGTCGGGATCGAACCGGCGCCGCAAAGGCTGCGAACAGCTTCACAGTGTGGCACTCAACTGCCTGCGCCACCAGGGAGGCCCGTGAATGGCTTTTTATGAGGCTGCTTTCAGCTTGACAGCATAGACCAAGGCAGGGGGAGGGTGCTGGGACTCTAAAAGCAAAAGTTGCCTTAGAGTCTATGGAATAAATTTCTGGCCTGAGCACCAGATCTGACCCGCAGATGCATTCTGATTTGCAAGCACCAGTTATTAACTGAATGGAGTGTGAATGTCTCGGGAAGGGGCCCACAGGCCTCACCCACTCAGGTTACTGTGACAGAGCAGAGGGCCTCTGGGTATGGGGCCCCTGCACTTGAGACAGCCAGGCCTCGCATCTGTTTTGCCTTTGGGCACCAACAGGAAGGAGGCACCAACAGGAAGGAGGCCCCTCCTTCCATCAGCAGGTCCTGGAATCCCCTCCCACCTGCTCACCTGGAACACGTAGTCTCCAGGTGGCACATCAGTGATGTCCACCCACTGGCAGTCGATGTCATGGCGATACACATCCCAGCAGCCCATGGTGATGCCTTGCTCACCGAAGTTGGCACACTCATAACTCTTCTGGATGTCTGTAGGCAGGCACAGAGGGAAGCACAGTCACCAAGCACCTGGACCCCCTGCACAGTCCCTTGCTCTGACCCTGTGCCATTCCTCCCACAGGGTGCAGGCACCCTGCTGGGCTGCCTACAATCCCACCCCAGTATCACACTTCTTCCCTGAGGGCCCCCAAGCTCTTTGTCATCTGGGCTCAGCACCCCATCCCCACTGCACGGGTTTCTGATCTGCTCTCAGTGAAATCCCTCGTGGGATTCCCCACCCGACCCCTTTCCTCCCTTCAAACCTGGGCAAGGCCCTGCTCCTCCACGAAGCCTTCCCTGATCACTTTGGTCCATGCTGACCTTCCGCAGAAGTCATTAGCCTGGGTGTGAAGTACATATTTTTCTGCAGAAGCTCTGGTGTTTGCTGTTTAGCTTAATTTGGGGGTCATCTTGCACCCCTCTGGAGAATCAGCCCTTCCTGTACACTTGGGTGAGATGTCCCTGCCCCTTACTGGCTCGCTCCTTGCCTGGCAAGTGGGTGCTCAAAACCCATTTGCTGTGTGTCTTGGCGGCATGTCAGGGCCAGCCACATCACTGACTAATTGACCACACATTTATTGAGAGGTTGCCATGTCTGTGCTCTCCTCTAAGCACTGGGTCTACCAAGAAGAACCCACGTGTCTCCCTTTAAAGGGCCCAGTGATAGCTGGAGGGCAGGTGTGCCCAGGTGATTATAGTGCAGGCGCCTACCTGCTATGGGCAGAGCTCTGCCTCTGCCTTGGGGAGTCCAGAGGGCCTGGGAACCTCAGAGGGGGGTCACTGGACCTGGGACTTGAAGGGAAGAGCCTGTGTGGGCAGGGTACTTGCCGCCCTCTTGGCCGCCAAGTGGGAAGGGACTGTGTGTCAGGCCCAAGGGTTTAGGCCTCCCCGGGGAGACTGTGCAGACCCACCAGTCAGCATGACTCTGGGGGATCCGGGTGCCTCTATAGACATGTTGCCCACACACCAGCCCCAAGCTGTAGCTGTGGAAGGCCCCGGTAGAGAAAGGTCATGTGAAAGTCATCCGGGCCAGGACCAGCATCAGGCTTGTGCACTGGGCCAGGGGGCACAGGTATGGGAGCACTGGAGTCAGTTTGAATCCACCTGCCCCCCACACAAAGGTACCTCCTTCACATTCCGTGTCCTCCAAGCAGAAGCTGGCTTTGTGGCCCTCTGCCACCTTGGTGCCATTGAGGCTCAGCAGGTCATAGTGGGTGAACACTTCCATGCTATGGTAGTGCCTGGGGGCGGAGAAAGCACATGAAGTCAGTTTCTGGAGCAATGGCCTCCTGCAAACAACTTCCTGGCTGGCACTTTGCCTCTGGGCCACCTTCGGCAGTGTGGTGCAAAGGGGTGGCTGTCGGGGACAAGGCAAGATGAAGGCAGGAGTGGCAACTGTGTACTGTGAGTGTGGGTTGGAGGCCAGCCACTCACCTCTGGAGGCCTCAGCCTCTCACCAGCTCAGGGAATAGTCACGATGTCCAGTGTGGCGTCACAGGAGTTAGTGGGATGAAGTAATAACACAGGACCTGGCGTGCAATAAGCTCAACCAAGGAAGATATTTTCAATAAGTGCTTTTAATAACCCTCCTGAGTGCTAGGGGCTCTCATGGCCCCTTCCTGTTTGGTACACTTTCTACAGATTAATAACATCAGTTTTTGAAATTTGAAAGTTGGAATATGGTAGGGAAGGAAAGAGAAGAGAAAAAAGCAGGTGTCTGGAGCGAGGGAGCAGCAGGGAGTGCAGGCAGAATGGGGGGCCTGGGTCCTTGCAGATTAGGAGGGGACTTCAAGCCCCCTAAGCACCTGCAGCCTGGGGAGGGGAGCCTCAGCCCTTCAGCTGGGAACTGAGAAGCAATTTGAGCCATTAAAAAAGGAGGGGAAAAGATAGCTCTGGAGGCGCTCTGGAAGGAGGGGTGAGTCATTCCTGGGAGAGGGTTCAAGGGAGAGGGGCAGGCTGTCCCTGTGGGCTCAGGGAGAGGAGGAGGGGGCAGCTTGTACAACCTGGCTGCCCCGGCCAGGCTGGCTGTTTACACGATCGGTGTCCATCTCTGTACTAGCGGGGAATTGAGAACAGATGCAGGTTCTGGAAAGGAATGTGCTTGGTTCGGAATAATCAAAGGGAGACGTGGCTGGTGTATGTCACAAGTGCCTGCAATTGCCTTGATGACGATGTTTGGGAAACTGAGAAATCTGGAGACCAAGGTGCCATGGCAGGGGCTAGAGAGCAGCAGCTTTTATGTACGAGTAACCTGAGTGTCATCCTCAGAAAGAGGGAATGAGCCACCACTCTCTGGGGGACCACAAGGGTGGAAGAGAAGAAATGCCCCTTACGGGCTACCGAGAGGAGCACTCACAACTCTTCCCTTTTTATTATTTTTTCAATTTTATATTTTTTACATCATTTTTCATTTTTGCACAATGTATGCATTTTTGGCTTGGTTATAGTCCCCATACAATTCCCACCCCTACCTTGTTTTGATCCTACTCCCTCCTCCCCACTCTGTAGTGTGTCTCTGGTTTGTAGCTGCTTGTTGATTTTGATTGATACTTTATTATAATTAGTCTTTTTCCTGGTTCCTTATTTAGGTTTTCTAAATTCCTGCCAAGAGTGAGACCATCTGGTATTTTTCTTTTTCTTTCTGGCTTATTTCGCTGAGCACAATCCCTTCCAGCTCCATCCATGTTGCTGCAAATTGCATGTGTTTATCTTTTTTGAATGCTGAGTAATATTCCATGGTGTATATGTGCCACATCTTCTTGGTCCAGTCATCTATTTTTGGGCATTTGGGTTGTTTCCAAAGCTTAGCTATTGTAAATAGTGCTGCTATAAACATAGGGGTGCAGGTGCCTGTAGGGTAAAGAAAATGTCAGACCTTTCTGCCCTTCCGCCATCAGGATAGATGATGGATCCTTGTCCTGAGTGCATGCCTGATGGCGGGCACCTGGAGTAGGGTGTGGGCATAGGTAGACAGGATTCAGCTGAGCTAAGACTGTGCTTTTAAGGGCGGCGTCACGGGGACGCCAGCAGCAGCAGCAGCAGAAGCAGTAGAAGTAGAAGCCGAAAGAGAAGCCGAGAAGCAGCAGAACGAACGCAAGAGAGCCCAGATAGAGTGCAGACTTGCTGGGGCTGGGAGGCCTGCCAGCCTCCCAGCCCCCCAGCCAGCACCCCTGCCTGCCATATGCCTGGTGAACCCCAATAAAAAACCTGCAAAACTACTGAGGACTCTGACTCCTCCTTTACCCGGTCTGCATGGTATCAGAAAACCTGCACTGTGCCCATTCCTGCCCCTTACAATTCCCTTTTGAATTAATGTTTCTGTGTCCTTTGGGTAAATACCTAGGAGTGGAATCGCTGGATCATAAGCAATCCATCTTTAGCAGGTTGAGGAACCTCTACATAGCTTTCCATAGTGACAACGCTTCCCTTCTGAGGACTCCTAGCAGTCAGAGGGTGCTGCTGTCACCACCTCAGGCAGCTGCACTCACGGTATTTCCAGGTCCCTGCCTCCCACCCCTCCTGCGGTGGCCTCCGGCTCTACTGGGTGAATGAGTTAAAAATCAGGCCTTTCACGCCCTCCCACCACTAGCCTCTACTGTGGGCACCTGTGGTCTCGCACGCCTCCTAAGTGGCGAGGATGCCTGGGGTCGATGGACGTGGGTGTGGGCACACGTGCCTATGATTATGGACACCTGGACCCAGAGAACACAGGACATGCGCATGGGCAAGTGCGGGCACCTGTGCTGAGGGGCAGGCGATAAAAGGGCAGCGTCACTCTGAGCCGGGAAGATGACGGAAAAATGCAGGGAGAGAGCTGGTCCGTCCCGATTCAGCATTAAAGGCCTGTAAAAATCTACCAAAGACTCCAAAATTATCCTTTCATCTGCAAGAACAATGAACCTACCCGGCCTGGGGTGGCTGCAGAACAGGTCCCACTCCTGGAACATGAGCAGAGTGAAGAAGGGAATTGAAAGGATAGGTTTTCTAAGGGGAAATTAGAGGCTCTTTTTTCCTTTCCTCCTGTGTTTGCTTATTCTAAAAATAATGTCAGAAGTTCCTAAGTTGGGCTTCCCCCGGGTCACTCATGTTTCTGGGGAAAAGGCCGGGCCAGGGCCACTGAGAGCACTCACAAGGACGCATTCTGTGGCAGCTCAAGCGATGACTTTGAAAGAGTCTATTTTGGCCTCTTGAAGGGGCAAGATGAGACATGAGGTCTGACTCACTGCCTAAAACATGTCTGCGTCTTCAGAGAGGGGCTTATGTTACCATGTTTACTGGCTGGAAAGACTGAAGAGAAATAGGTTTATGTTCTGCTGTCTAAACAATATTCAGACACAACCCACAGACGGCCTGTTGTGAGGCTGACCTTCTCCCGCTCCTCCTGCTTCCTGCAGACTTGATCTAAGCCTTCCCGAGCTCTTAGTTTTTCCCCTGCACACACGGGAGGGAAAGAGCTGGTCTGGAGCCTCCAAGCTCTAGCTCGCTTGGGTCCTTCCCGGAGCCTCCTTGCTTTACTTCTTGGGCATTAGTGGGATCACCGCAGGGGCCACTCCCTCCCAGCAGGCTGGCTGTAGAGCCCAGGGCATCTCCTCAGCACCCACACATGCTCCCCCAGAAATACAGAACATGGGCAGTGGGGGGGGCGCATCTTGGGAGGAGGGTTTACTTCCTCGCTCCAGGCTTTGGAAGCCTAAGTGGGTGGGGAGCGGGAGGAAGGGAGAGGCTTTGGAAGGCTTGACCCCTGGGGTAGGGAGAGGGAGACTCTGACTTCGAAGGACATCCCTGAACGCTGAGAGAATGACCTGAGCTGGATGGAGGTCACCGTAACCTGGAGAGAAGGAAGGTGCCAGAGCGCAGGGTTCCGAGACAGCACCTTCGAGTAGGGCATGACTGCAAAGATGCATGGGAGGTTTGCTGTGTCCTTTGTTATCTTCAAGGGCCCAACTGAAATCCTCAATCTGAGAACGTGTGCACAGTGTAGAGATGCCCGCACATCTTCCCCACTCTGGCCACATGATCCTGGTGCCTCCACACTGGACAGTCCTGGCCGCTCTCCTCTGAGGTGGGCACAGTGCTCTGTTCCCATTTCAGAGACTACTTGGGGGTGTTTTTCAGTGTCTGGAGGGGCTGCCCCACCCTGCCTTTCCCATGTTCCAGGCAGCAAAATTGGCTGTAATGAGGGCCAAAAATTGGCTTGTGGAGGCCCCATAACACCTGGGGTGTGGGGGCTTTCACCAAACACGGGGACTGCTCCGCACACAGGGAGACGTGCAGTGAGCAGCCTCCCCTCTGTAGCAGTGCCGACCTGACATGGACACTGCACCTGTGCTGGATCCCCACCTTCCTGCTCCCAGCACCTATGCCATGGCTCCCCCAAGCCCGGGACTCAGCTGGGGCAGAGAGCCAGGAGGGGCAGGGCTGCTCTGTGCCCACGCGCAAAAGGGCCCAGCTCCGTAAGACCCCCGCCAACACTGTGACCCAGTGGTGTGTGAGAGCGCGGGACACTGATGCTGGGGGCATTTTCCTCTGTGTCTGGTTGGCGAGGGGGGACCCCTAAAGGAGGCCATCTTTGCGTCTCACCTTAGGGCTTTTGAAAAACAGCTTGTTCCTCATTGGAGCATCAAATAATTGGGAATGATAGTTTTTCCCTTTCATGCTAATTTGGTCCGTGTTTCTCAACTTTGGCTCTGCAGATAGACTTCAGATTGTCTATAAATCTACTGAAATTGGAAGTTAAATCTAGAAATTTTTTTTTTTTAATGGAGGAAGAATCAGGTTTCACCAGATTCCCAAAGGAACTCTACAGAGGTTTGGCGCTAGGGGCCCTGTTGAAAGGCCTCTCGCAGAGCCTGGAGAAGTATCCAGGAGCTCTGGAGGGGGGCTGGGGGCCCCTTTTATGTTCCCTGGGTCCTAATGACCATAGGCACTTAGTTATGGACCAGGAGGGGGAGGCCTGAAGCATTACATGCTCAGCCAGCGTGTCCTTACCCACCCCTCCCTCACCAGAGACTGGGATGTCTGCACCCAAAGAAATAAGAGGCCACAGAAGAGCAGGGTGGGGTGTGGGGGGCGCTCCAGATCAGAGGAAATCATTCCAAGAGGTCACCATGTGTTCTCTTAAAGAAGCGGCCATCCCGTGGAGAGCAAGCACATATGATATCTGGGTGGACCACCATTCGGAGGGCGGAGATGTAATTACCTTCTACTTATAGCCCAGGAGGCCGCGTCAGCCTGGCAGGCCAGGCTCTGCCCACTGTCCCCTCAGGAAGTCAGGCCAGGATGCTAACGATTCTGTCTTACTCTTTCCTCCCACCCCAAAAAAGACCCAAAGACTCCTTGACTGATTAGGACTTTCAGAACATAAAGGGAAGTCAATGCCCCGAAATTCTCTCACAGTCCTTTTGAAACGGGTTGAACACTCTATCCCGAAACTGATTTGACTGTGACCAGGTCATAAACCATGACATGCAAAAGCAGCCAAAGGCAGGTTTCTGATGGATCCAGAGGAAGTAATGCAAAGAGCAAACACTTCGCAGTCGACAGGGTCGAGGTCTGTGCCCTGTCCAGCTTTGTGTATCTTGGGGAAGTCACACTCCCTTTCCCATGAACGTGAAGGTCCCCGTGCCTGGCACTTAGAGGAGCAGCTAAGTGTTTGCTCTTGTCTCCCTAGCAGTGCCTACCACATTTAGAGCTGGAAGGACACCTGGAGACCAGCCGGACACAATCACCAGGTGATCTTGTTAAATGTGGACTCCAGGCCTATGGTGTGGGATTCAGCCTTTTCAAGGCCTCACCTTGAAAAGCAGGGACATAGTGCAAAAACTTTGCTAGACAGATGCGCCAAAGTCCAGGACCCCTCAGGGGCTGCTGCCCTGCCTTTTGGATAGTGTGCTCACTTCTCTCCCTCCTGGCTAGCTCAGGGCCGAGCAAAAGATGTGAACAAGCAGGAGCAGTGGGTTCTGGGTTAGAGTAAGAATCAAGGTAAAGAGGAAACAAGGAAAGAAAAGGAAAGACAGAGCTGGAAGGGTGTCTTCTGCTGCTCTGGGGAGGGCAGGTGCTCGCGTTTTGTTTCTGTTCTGGCCCAGGATTTGGAGCCCTGGATCAGCCTGTCTGGGGGTGCTTGAAGGCTCCTGGTGAGGTAGCCCTGCTGATCTGACATCACACAACTGGTTAGAGGTACAGATGGGTTGAGGGACCAGGCCTCATGATTTCTGGACCTACAGCTTTTGTTGCCACACCGTCTTCCTGAGGAAATTTAAAATATACACTGGTAATTAAAATATTTCTAAATGACCTTAAAGTCCAATAATTGCAGAACCTTAAGTGTCCTATAGGATATGAACTTGCTGTGGACATACTTGAAAACCACTGACTGAAGGAAGAGACCGGGCACTCCAAATAACATCTGTTTGAGTTTGATACTAGTGATAATGGAGGCAAGAAAGCACGCACTCAGGGAATGGGTGGTGAGCGGGAGCTGGCCATGCAGAGTGGCTTCAGTGAACATGGAGGGCAATGTGGCAGCCCCAATTCCCTCCAATGCAGGACCACTCTGCCCGCTGGACTAGGTGGCCTCTCAGCTCTCTGGGTGACCCTGTGGTTCCGAATCTCAGCCCTGCAAGAGGTGGTTGGGGCACCTTGGTGGTGATGAAGGGGAGGGCTTACCTGTGGCAGTCATGCCAAATCCACGCATGGCGACCATTCTTGGGCCGGAAGTCTGACTGGCCGTTGTTGTGGATCTGGGAAGAGAAGCGGAGGAGCCGACGGTAGCCTGTGGTGGGGTTGGTTTGGGCGGCCGAGGCTGAGAGGCAGTTCTCCTCCATGGCACACTGGAGCATGAACATGGGTCGGTCCTCCAGGTAGGTGCTCTGCTGGACAATCTCTGCATTGAGGACCAGGTCGGGGGCGGCTGGGCAAGAGAGACATGGTGTTGCGGTAAGACAAGAAATCCCCCCATTACACACCATTCCCGAGTATTTGCTCTTGATTCCTGAGCTGGGACAACCACGCCACCCCCCGCCTAGCTCTGCCTTCTGGAACAAGTTTCAAGGGTCTAGCCTGCCTGGAGGAACACACCCCACCTTTTCTCCCTTCCCTGAGAGTCCTCCTGACACCTCTGTAGTATCAGTGCTAATGGGCAACTGGAATCTGGGTGAGGGCTCTGTGCAGGCTCCTACTCTTAAATGACTGCAGATTTTACATAATAAAAAGCAAACAATAACGTGAACTTTCCCTCACAGAGGGGACAATCTCAATAACTTAGCCTGATTCCTCTGGGAATGACAAAAATATATTTTCCAATGTATGTTATACTGTATATAGATTTATGTTTTAAGTATGAAGTCTGCTAATTCTGCTTCCCTTAAATACATCTTGGCATATCTCCTTGATAGTAAATATTCATTACAACGTTCATTTCATTGATATGTAATATTTGGAAAAAACCCTATCTCATATTTTTAGATTCATTGGTTGCTTAGAACTTTTCACAGTTAAGAATAAAGCTGTGATCAACATTCAGCAGTAAATATGTGTATGTAACTATTTCTTTAGGATATATTTCTATAAGTGAAATTGCTGGGAGAAGGGGTTGCCTATTTTTAAGGCTCTGATACATATTGCCAAATTACCTTCTTAACAGGTTCTTCCAATTTCCACCCACATGGTTGCTCTACATGCAAATTTTCCTCAGATGCATCTTTTGAAACCAGCTTGATTTATTCAATTAGTACACAGCACATAGCAGGTGTTAAAAAAATGATGCTGCAATCTATGTTTGCTAAATTCACAAAAATCTATGTTTACTTGAATTCACAAAAATGTTGCATATGACCCTGTCATCCTTCTTTGTGGCTTGTAGATTGTGAAGTGAGTTTGGTCTGTGAGTGTGGCTTCCTTTCCTTCCCCAGAGCCTGGAGCCTACCTGAATTCTCTAGTCCCCTCCCCAGGGTCCCTAGGCTGTGGGGAGCACAGCGGGTTCTTAATGACAATACACAAGAGCAGGTGGCGACAGTTTCTCGTGGGAGCAAGTCCACCCAAGGGGTTTGGTGTGGAATCCAAGTGCAGGGTAAGGTGCACATGATGGATGTGGACTGGGAGTGGACACTGTGTGGCTCCCACTTCTGAGAAGTATTTCCTCTCCCAGTGCACACCAGGACGCAGCATTGCTGGTGCTGAGCATTCTGGACACCTGTTTCTAGAAGGTGTTGTGTGAGTCTCATTGGTTGTCTGTACCCAATAGGCAGTCCCTCGGCTTACCTCTGAGCTGAGCAAAAGGGTCTGGAGGGGGCTCTCCTCTTTCTGAAGGGAGGTCAGTCTGCCCCTAGCTTTGGGGTCTTAGGGGAATGTGGTCAACACTTATTGGGTGGCCTAGGAGCTGTGCTCTTGGCATATTACGTGGACTGGGGCTTTGGCATCCCTGACATTCAACACCCTCCAGAAGCTCACGGAGGCCTGCATTCACCACCCATCAGCTGAGTATTACAGCGAATACTGTTGTGGGCTTTCTGGAAGCGCTATGACGCAGACTTTCTATTCTAGCAGAAGAGACAGAGAGAAACTCTATGAATTACTTCATTACAGTTGTGACAAGAACATAAAGGAGAAATAAGGGGCACACGCTGGTAATTATATATAGCAGGGGGATCCACTTTGAGAGGTTATCGGGAAGAAACTCCTGGGGGGCAGATACATTTTAGCTGTTCCCTGAAGGATAAGCAGAGATTGGATGCAAAAATCTCAGGGGTGAGGGCAGTGTTATGTGGTTGGGGGTGGGGTAAGTTCCTCCCTAACTCTTCTCACCTAACAAGAATTGATCTCTGCTTTCCTGTTTTGCTCAGCTCATGGCAGAAGCCTGGAACCTTGAAGGGTGTAACCAGTGAGGTGCAGTCGCCCTGAGCCCAGGGGGAGGGTAGGAGACAAGCCCCAGAGACTCACTTTCTGAACAGGCGACTCCAGCGCCATACTGCACCCCACCCAGGGGGCAGGCCACGTCCTCATCCCGGCGGCAGTGTGCCAGGGACAGCTCTGTGCCCGAGCACTTCACTCCGCTCATCACCACTTTGTTGGCATAGATATTTCCTTGCCAGTACCAGGTCTCCTGGAAAAATCAACAAAATGAAATGACTGGTACATCACCTTGAATTTTCGCTTTCTCATATTTTATCAACTTTAAGCCTTACAAAAAAACCAAGGTTTTATGATCCCTTTTTTTTTTTTAAGCTGGAGATAGCTGAGGCACAGAGTTGCTTATCCAGGTCATACAGCATGTTGGTGGCAGAGCAAGTGAGAATCCAGGTCTTCTGACCCTTGTACTTGTATTCTGCTGCTTCGCCTTGGGAAGGACAGCTAAGGCTGTGGTTAAAGGGTGCATGTCAGGAACTGCCAGCTGGCACCCACAACTCCTGTTGCCTTCTTTCTCGCTAAAACCCAGGGCAGACATTATTAATCAATCTTTCCTCTGAGCCTGAATGTGAGCCCAGAATCCTTCTCAACACCGTGCTCCATGAAGACACTAGCCATTGGCAGGAGAGAAATAATCTCTTCACAATCATCAACAGTTAGTTTGATATTCACACATCCTCCTGGTTCTGTCCTACCTCTCATCCACTAGAGAGAAAACTGGGGCCCGCAGAAGGGACAGGGTGTGGAAGCAATGGCAGATTTGGAACTGACGTCAGGTGCAGAGCCATTTCAGGTCCCAGCTGAGACTGAGGTATTTTAGGAAAAAGCTTCAGGGGAACAAAACAGCTGACAAGCATTCTGCTAGGAAGCACTGCTTTCCCACTCCCCTGGGAGAATCAGCATGAGCAGGGTTAGATGCTCCCTGGCCCTGGGAAGCTGAGCTCACAGGGGGCCCGGGCAGCAGCATCAGGCCTGCCCTTCTGGAGGCTCAAACTCAGGTCTCAGTACCGTCCCTCAGAGCCACGGCACCTCCCCTCAGAGCCACCTGGCCAGGCAGCTGCAGGGGTGGTCAGGCTTAGCAAGGTGTTCCCCACATCTCCCTAAGAACCCCCTCTCCCAAGTGGGCACTGCATCCAGGAGTGGGAGTCAGGATTAGCAAAGTAAGATGAGGGACTCCGGCCCTTCCCTATTCTGTGAGAAGCGTAGGAAGGTGTTTAATAAGGATGCTGAGGAATGGGACTATTTGTTCCTTGTCACAGGGAGGAATCTGGAGGTTTGAGGGTGGCTGTAGGTCACAGCTGGTGGGGTACAGTTGGGAACAGACCCCAAGTCTCCTGTCTTCTGCCCCTCCACCCCCAGCATTTTAACAATGTTCCACTCTGGGGGTACACTGTTCCCTCAAAGTATAAAGTCCAAATGGCAATGAGGGTTGTTTTTTTTTTTTTTTTTTTTTTCCCGCTGATGTTCAGACCCAGCTGCCTTTGGCTGCGTCACAAGACAAGACTTGGGGGTTCACTGGCCTATCAACAGGAGCGTGCATGAGCATGGCTGCCCACTAGGAGACATGTCCCACCCAGAAGGGCCTCCAAGGGAGAAAGCACAGGCATCTGGGGTGCCAGGCCTTGGACTGGGCAGTCTCCACTGCTCTGGAGGACTGGGTTGCTTCCCTCTGAAAAAGGCACATCAGAACACCCCAGGATTCATCTCTAGCCCAGAGTGAGTCCCAATGCACAGAGCTGAGGGGACCCTCATTCTGCAGCAGGGAAACACAGGTAGATAAAGGGGATCACGACCTGCTTAAGGCCCAGCTGTGAGGGGCAGAAGTGAGGCCAGGAGGAAGTTTCTGCCTCCAGGTCTGGGCACTTTGCCCTCTACCTCCTGGGTGGCTGGGGAAGGTCTGAGAAGATGGGGACTGAATAAAGATGGATGGAGAGTGGGATCTGACGCCACTTCTCACCTGGAATGCGTTGCTGGCGAACCCCAGGCCCAGCTGCCGACAGACCACCATGGCCTCCACAATGCCCCAGTTCTCACCACACACTGTCCCCCATACGAGGGATCCATTCCTCTCTGCCAGCACCTCCACCCTGCCCTCATAGGGGTTCCGGCCTCCGTTCAGGCGCAGCTGTGAACAGAAAGGAAGGCATAGTCACAAGGAGGGTCGGAGGGGAGCTCCGCCACGACTGTCATCAGCCCCGCTTCCCCCAAGCCCACCAATCCTGCTCAGGACACAGTCAGACTCCACAGCGTGGCTGAGAGCTGACTGTGTGTTCACATGGTCTCACATACTAGTTGTCCATCCACAGGCACTCTAGGGCCTGGCCATTATGACCCCACTGAGCCCTGAGCAGAATCTGCCTCTGTGCCCCTGCTCCCCAGGGGCTCTTGAGCCTATCACTGCGGGGAGCTCTTAGAATCAGACACTTGAGAGGATGTAGTCAAGGGACTCTAACATGTGAGAACTCCCCAAGATTCCTTCCTGGGCCCTTTTCTTCAGCCACACTCTCTGCACAGTTGGTTCCAGCTCCTGATCTCCCCAGCCCCGCCCCCTGCAGTCCCATGCCGTCCTCTCCATCCAGAACTTTCCTCTGATGATGACTGTATATGTGAGAGTTTCACTTGGCACTTTGGAAGCCCCATAACTGAACTGTCGTGTCTCTCTTGAAATCCATGCCCCATCACTTACTTACTTCATTTCATTAAAGGTACAAACATCTACCCCAGGGCCCAGCAAACTCTATGAAAGGTTAGGTGGTAAATATTTTAAGCTTTGTGGGCTGTATGGTCTCAGTTGTGAAAGCCACCACGGACAATGCATAAATGGTCGGGCATAGCTGTGCTCCAGTGAAACTGTACTGCCAGCCAGCAGAACGGGGGCTGGCCTGCAAGCTACAATCTGCTGCGATCGAATCTATCCTGTTACACAAGCCAGAAATCAAGCCACACATGGCACCTCCCTCTCTTCCCCACATCCTGTCAAATTGCCCCATGGATTTATCTCCCAGGTCTCTCCAGTTCTTTGGCTCCACTCCAGCCCACTCCTCCGGGGTTCTCCTAGGCACTGTCACCTTTGGTACAAGCCAGGCCTCCTCACCTCTTGCTGCCTCCCTGGGGTTCACGGACCCATCTTTGAGAACACCCGATCATGTGCTCCTGCTTAAAGCCACTGCTCTGTCCTCCTAAACCTTATCATGTCTTTCTCAGCCATCATCTCTGACCTCCAAGCACACGGGCCTTTTCCCCATTTCTGTGGTTACCTAACTTTCTTGACCATGTCACACAGTAAGTCACACTAGACATGGGAGCTTGCTGTGCTAGGCTGTTGCTGCTCATCTTTCTCATTCCAAAGACACTCCCCCCTCACTGGGACCAGTATCCACTTACACATTCTAGAGCTTCCTATTCATTTTCTTCTTCGCAGCTATGACAATTAGAATTAAGCTAATTTACAATCTATTTAATGTCTGTCTTGATAAGCAGACCAGCCTGCATTCTAAAGCGAATGAATGTATCAGGAGTTGTGGATGATGAATGTGGCTGCACATTGACTCTGAGGCAAGGAAAACATGTGGTTGCCAATGGTGAGCTAGGGCCTCCCCAAGTCTTCAGGCTTCCACCAAGGTTCTTCTAGGAGTTGGCTTGGAGTAGCTTCTGTGACAGATGTAGGCTCCTTTGCTCTGAAGGCTGCTTAAAGGTACATGGGGGCTTTTCTCATTTCTAGAGAAGACTGGAGGGCACAAGCATGAAGTTCTAACATAGCCTAGGACTCTGTTTTCCATTCCCAGGGCCCAGTCTGGGGCACCAGCATTCTGGGAATTACGTAGTCCTCTGACATCAGCTCCAATGGAACCTTTTGGAGGCCTTGGAGCCAGGAGCCTCTGGCCTGCACCCGCTGTACCTCATCGCTGGGTGAGGATGCCAAGGAAGGGCAATCCTTCTCAAAGTTTCTTAAAACAACTCAGACATTTGCCTTTTCCTATTCCCTTGGTTCTCAATGGCAGCAGTACAGGGTTTGAAAGAAGGGAGTGAAAAGTGCAGGCAGCTGAATTTTTCTGAGCACAAATAGGGAAAACAAAATACTTCCAGCCAGTGGAGTATGGCAAGGCTGCTTGGTGTTTTGATAAGGCTGTGGTCAGCCAGTCCCACACCTAATTTTGGAGTTGGGGGGCAGGAGTTGTGGTAACTCAATCCAGATGTTAATGTGAACGGAAGAATGGCGCTTTCCAGCTCACATTCCACACAGGGGCTTGGTTCAGCCAAGGGCAGCCCCACAGTTCAGAGGTGAACTGGAGGTCATCAAGAGGCCAGCGTCCTTGGGCGGGTTTGTTCTGAGAAACCCACCTGCCGTTCCCACAGCCTTTCGGCTTTGGGTCCTCTCTCCCAGCAGCGACAGAAATCAGGCTTTTCTGTGGCTGGATGGACTAAACCATCCAGTTCCAAGTCTGTGACCTTTATTAGCCACTCAATAGAAAAGACAATTTCCTAACAAAGCATGTGTGAGTGGGAAGCTGGGAATCATCTCTCTCACCTCATTTTCAGAGGAAGAAAATGACCTCTCAAAGAGACTAACTGAAGAATTAGTGAATGAGTGATTGTTATGAACTGTGCCTCCATCCCCAAATTCACATGCTGAAATCCTACCCTATAACTTGACTGGATTGGAGATGGGGCCTTTTAAGATGTAATTAAGGTTGAATGAGGTCATATGGGCAGGGCCCTAACCCACAAGGACTAATGTCCCTGGGAGAAGAGAATAGACACCAGGCATGGGGGTGCACAGAACAAAGGTCATGGGAGGGTACAAAGAGGGCCGCCATCTTTGAGCCAAGGAGAAAGGCCTTAGGATCTTGGACCTCTAGCCTCTAGAATTATAAGAAAAAACATTTTTTATTACTTATGCCACCCAACTGTGCTGTTTTGCTACAGCAGCCCCACTAAGTTAAGACAGGGCTAAAACTTGGGTGTCTGGGTGGTTCTGCCCAGTGTTGTTGCTGGCACCCTATGGTCTACTATGGCAAGACCACTGGAACAGCCCAGGGACATTTCTTTCACAGATGACGGTCCTATTTCCTGCACAGGGGATGGAAAGAGGAAACCCAGAGGGAACACTCTCCCTTGTGCTAATTACCCCCTGGAGCTTGAAGAGTCCTGGGAGGGTGAGGGGTATCTGTGCTGGGAGTGTGGGGACACCCATGGCATGGGTGGCAACACAGCCTGGCTCAGCTCTACCAACCACAAGATGGTTCTGGAAACTTCACTTTCTTTGGTTTAGGTCTTTCATTTGGTTTGAAAACCCCACTCCACCCAACTCTAATCTGAAGTGTGTATGTGCTACTTGATACGGGACCTCTGACACGTAAGCTTTGCTGCTCTAGGAGGCTGGAAGGCTGCCAGCAATCCCAGATGGCAGGACTTCCCCACAGCTGTGGGCAGTGTCTTCGCTCCCGCTCACCACAGCAAGTGCACAGCCTCGCTGAGAGCTGTTGTGCTCCCATCTCTGCCCCATTGGGCAGTGAATTGCATGAGATATGTTATTGCTGATCCGTTCAGCATGACAAGAAAAGAGGGACCCATTCAGCAGGACTTTGGCATCAAATGTGCTCAAAAATCACTATCAGAGCAGAGACCCAGCTTGGGAACCACCCAGCACCCCCGTGTGTCCACATTCACTCATTTTAATAAACATCGCAGAGGCTCTTTGAACCTGCCAGCCGTGTGCTGGACGCTGCAGAGCACCTCACCATGCCAGCTGAGTGGAGAGATGGATGGGATCTGCTGGGGGCTCCTGTAGGACTGAACTGACCTCCCAGCAAGAGTAATTCATCTCGTTGGCAAGTTAGGGGACACAGGTAGGTTTTGAGAGAACCCGAGTCAGGAAGGGAGGGGGGCTGTCCCTCTGACTATAATGCTGTTAAGTTTCCTTTTCTTTCCCTCTACCAAATCACTGTCTTCCGCCCCAAACACTGACTATACTGAGCTTACATGTGTGTGGCCTGCAGAACTGCTGTGGATGTGACTCCTCTGGGTCCTTAGCAAGGGCCCTTGCCCATGTGTCACAGGCACTGGAACCTTATGTCCTCGCAGAGAGGACAGTCGAGATGACACCCCAGTTTAGTCTCAGGGCAGGAGTGCACCCAGTGGCTGACCAACACCTGCTGCTAAGGGTGGTGGTGATTCCAAGTATGTCTTCTCATTTGGCACATTGACGGAGTTAGTAACAGTGAAGCAGCAGGGTCTGCAAGTTTTCAGAGCTCCCTATGCAAGGCCCGAGCACTTTGGGGGCTCCTTCAGCAGGGCTGAAGTGCTTTGGGGGCTCCCTGTTGCTACCTGTTGGAAACTGCAGCATGAAGCCACCTAGTTTATAGTCTCTGGAGCAACATAACACATAAGACAGTCTCACGTCTGGTGTCCTCACCCTTTTCTGGAAGCCCATGATAGGGATGTTACACCTCACACCAGCATCTTCCTCGTGGTTACAGCCCTGAGACTCGGCATTGAACTTGCAGTCTATAAGGGACTTCTCATTTCCAGTGCACTCAATTTCGTTGAGGTGGATGGGTCCTATCCCTGGTGAAGGAAATGAACACATGTTATGAAAATGTTTGAAGAACACTGTCCAGAATTAGCAAGGTCCAGGTAATAAGAACACGCCTGTCTCATCTTCCACACTCGCCTAGCTGCCTCCCTCGGCACCTCAACAGTCTAGCCCTCTTCTCCCTGGAGACAGCTGGGACTCACTTCTTCCATAAGAGCAAACACAATTTGCCACTAACTTTTGTATGACCTTGGCCAACTCACTCAGCCTCTCTGAATATTTGTTTTCTCGTGTAATGAAGGAATTGGACTGGCAGACACCTAAGTTCCCTTCCCAGAGTTAACATTCCCTGAATCTAAGCCACTGTACAGTCAGGATCCCCACAGGAAACAGATGACATAGCTAAACTGAATGATTTGATTTAGAAAAGAGAGATTTTTAAAAATAAAGGTATGGGCAGAGTGCCTGGAATCACAGTCACAAAGCACAGAATTTAGGAGCTGACAGCTCCGGGGCACAGATCCACCCCTGGGCTTGTGGGGGCGGGGAGGGTGCCACCTGGTAAGAGCTGTTATACCTGATGATGGGAAACAAGAGCCCCAGGGATCCTGTAGGGAGAATAAATACCTGGCCTTTTCCCTCTTTCCACCTCCTCTCAGTCACACTCTGTTGGCCACACCCAAGGGTCCCTCCTGGGCACTGGACAGTGGGCAAGGGTGGAGGGTGGCAGTGTAAAGGCAGATGGAGGACATCCAGGCATGATCTGAGGGAAGCGTGCAGGGAAGCTTCTCTCACAGGTGCCAGAGAAACAAGGGGGAGTGCCTGGCTGTTGGGGAGAGAGAATTTCCCACCTGGCCAGCATTCAGTTCAACTCACAAAACTCACTCTCCTCTGTCTAGCTCAAGAGGACCAGTCTCGGGGCCTCCCCGGTGGCGCAGCGGTTGAGCGCTGGGTTGCGAAGCTGCCCGTGGCCTCTGTGGCGCCGGTTCGATCCCTGGCTGCTCCCCGGCCACCGGAGGAGGGTCCCACATGGCGCGCAGACCTCTCCTGCCGCCCGCTGCTCCCCTCAGCAGTGTACTTCGGTCCTTCTGCCTGCTCTGCTCCCCGCTCTGGCTCTGGTGAATTCTCTCACCCTCCCGCGCTTCTGACTGTACCCAGTGCATGTATAAACAAAACAAACAAACAAACCAGCAAACAAATAAATAAAGCATGCCTCTATTAAAAAAAAAAAAAAAGAGGACCAGTCTCAGGCCACTTGGATTCCATTTTGGACTTTGCCCTCCCCTGACCCTCACCATACTCCTCTCCTTCAGATTCTGTCCCTCGGCAGGCAAACATGCTCAAATCTCCCATGGGTGGCTCCCCACACTCACGTTCCCTCTTGCCTGTCACTTGCTCTTCAGGATGAACTTCCTGGAGGAGTGGGTTGTGTTTGCTCTCTCTACTCTGTGGCAAGTGGTAGGGTCTTCCAGGGGCTTCTCTGCCATCCCTCCCTGTCTTAGGAAATGGCAGGTCCATCTGTCATCCAGTCGCTCTTGCCAGAACCCAGAGGTCATCTCTGGAACCTCCTTTACTGCTGACAAGCAATCGGTCACCACATCCTGTTCTGCTCACTCTCTCCATCGGAGTGTTTGTTTTTCAATTCCTGCACCCTGTGACACTAGTGCAGCCCTGCCATCTCTCAGTGGGGTGAATGCAACAATCCCTCATCTCCCAACTGCTCGCTTCTTCCAAAATACTCTCATGTGGCCGCGCAAGGGATTTTTAATGCACGCTGAACCCTATCATTCCCCATATCAAAATCCTACAATGACTTCTCATTGTACTTAAGGGCAAAATCCAGAGTCTCCAAATAGACTGCCAGGTCCTGTGTGATCTTTCCTCCTACTCAGATCACCTCTGGTTCTCCTTCAGGCCCCAGCTCGGAAGCCACGACCATGAAGAACCCCCCCGGGCCTCCTTCTAAGTGGCCCCTTGTGCAGCCTCTGTGGGCACCTGTGTCATGTTGCACCCAGGTGGCTATTTGTTCAGTGTCCATCTGGCCAGGCTGGAGGCCCCACAAGGGCAGGTACCATGTCTGTTCTCCTTTTGTGTTCCCCACTGGTGCCTGGTAAATAAATAGCAAGTGCTGCAAATAGCATCTGAATGGACGTTTTGATGTCGGGGTGCTGGTCGTATGGCAGCCTCTGTGCTCAGTGCTGGGGGCGTCCAAATGAATGACAGGTCCTGCTGAGAAGAGCTCACAGTTTGTGGGGGAAGCAGAAGCTTCCACAAAAACTTATAATATCATGTGGAAAGTGATAAAGATGGAGGTGGCTGTGATCTGGGGGGCTCTGTTGGAGAGTTTGGAGACGTCTCTAAGTTCACAGAGGCCAAAGCCACTTCCAACAGCAACCCGTTTAGGAGGTACGAGCCAAGTTTCCACTTGCTTGGATGCTTCGTCATGTATGAATTTCCAATTCCTTGGGATTTTATAAAATTCATAAAAACACATCAGTGACTAAGGCTGGCAGTGACGCTGGACTCAGAGTGGAAAGACTATGACAAAACAAATCCTAAGCAGGGGCACTTCAGGGATTAAGATGGGCATAGAAATGGGCATCAACCTCGGATCTGAGCGTCCAGGTAGATGACTGTGAGAATGACAATGATGATGATGGAGATGGTGGTGGTGGTTGGAATGATGGTGTTGGTGGTGGTAATATCTAATATTTGTTGAGTACTTACTAGGTGTTAGATTTTGTCCTAAACACATTGTATGAACTCACTGAATCATCACAACAACCCAATAAAATGAGTAAGCTGAGGATCAAAAATTATGTAACTGGCTCAATGGAGAATTCAGGATTCAAACCAGGCAATCTGAGCCCACAACATGGCTTTGCTGTTTCTGAATCTCATTCAGGAGAGTCTGGAGGAAACGCTACTCTGCGAAGGAGCCGAGTGTTGTTCTTGGATAGAGCTGGGTGGCAAGTGGTGTAGTGTTCTCCTCTAGGGCTGCTCCCTCTGCCTCCTGCCTCTGGAATACCTGCTCCTTTCTGGCCCCTAAACAGAAGCCTGGCTTCAAGGAGCACCTCCACCTCCTTCAGGTTCACCTTGTCTAACCAGCTGCACCATTTACTTCTCACACCTCTCACAGACGAGGCATAGAGCTAGGCTATCAGCCTAAAATTGGATTCAGCCTGAGTCTCCCTGGGAAGGGATGGGAACTTTCTGAGTTTTATTTTCCCTATGGACAAAAGGCAATGATATCTACCTGCAGGAGAAACTATAAAGACTGAATGGGACAAGTATGTCAGGTTACCAGGGGCTCAGTAAATGGTAGGTATTAGTGTCAGCATTGCTTCTTACATATCACCACTGTTTGCTAATGTAACTTATCTTTGATTGGGGTTATTTCTTATATTCCTCATTTGACCCGAGCTCCCAGATGATGAATAAAAATTTGTGGAAAAGTCAACTCTCCACTCCAGAATTCTACCCAAACAGTATTTGATGAGTGTCTATGGATTTCTAGACTATGGGGTAGCAGGAGAAGAGAGGTGAATGTAAGAGCCTGCCATGCTTTAGAGTCCAACTGATAACTGGTTAGTCTCCTGCTGGCCTAACTTATGTAAACTTATGTGACTCAGGCATCTGGGGATGAGGACCCTGAAGGTGGAGCAGGCACACTCAGGGTGCAGCAGGAGCAGGCACAGATGGGTGAGCCAGAGCATCTCAGCCTCTCCCCTGTACCACCCAGCTCTGTGTGAGTCATGTAGGCTGGGAGACGTGTCAAAGGACACTGGTCTGTGTCCAGTGGCAGCACACCCTGGAGTGTCTCTGGGCTCCTGGCTCATTTTTGTAACCCCAGTTTTTTCTTATTCCTGAGTTCTGGGCCATTTCCTAAATTGCTTATGATGCCTTGCCCACCTGCACTATGGCCTGACTCTTCTACTTTATACAAACCTGAGCCTGGATGACCACAGGTCTGGGACAGGAGCAGGGTTCTAGGGAAAAGCCATGCCCAGCCTTGAAGCAATATTCTGAACTCTGGATCCACAGTTTACAGTGTTCTCAAAGCACTGAGTAGATAGGTAGAGCAGAAACAATGGCGTGTTGTAAAGGTTAGTATTGCTTCCAGAAGCTTTAGTTTTATGTGCATGGTGCGCTCTATCAGGCATATTTCTTATCAGGACTACAGGCTTTAAGGCCACTGGACTGGGCTGTCCCTGTCTAATGGGGCAGCTTTTGGTCACAGTGAGTGCTTGGAATGTGCCAGGCCAGATTGAGATGTCCTCTAGTGTAGAACGCATCTTGGATTGCAAATATTTAGTCCAGAAAATGTAAACTATCTCGATTTATGCTGATTACATGTTGCAATCATAATGTTCTGGGTATATTGGGTTAATGAAACTATATCATTAAAATTAATATACCTGTTTTCATGTATTTTAAATGAGATGTGTGGCTCACATGGTATTTCTATGGGATGGCACAGGTCTAGTGTTGAAACTTCTTCAACAACTTTTCATGTGGCAAGTCCTACTTATGCAACTGGAATGCATTCCTTCAGTCTTCATAAAATGAATATCCTTGGGAACGATGAGCTGAGAACAGACTCAGCACTAAGGACAGAGATAAAAGACACAGGCCTCTCTTCATGCAACATGCAGTCTTGGGGGAGCGGGTGTGTAAATAGCTGGGTCAAGATGTGTACAGGGTGTCCCAGATCACGAGCAGTGCCTGACTCTGGCCCGACACCCATCCCAGTGAGAACAGCAGATCTCAGTGGGTCACAGGAGGCTGAAGCCAGAAGGAGAACCAGAGATCAGGAATCCAGCTACCTTGTTGATAGTGAAGAATCTGAGGCCCAGAAGGTTGGTCAAGGTCACAGAGCAAGTAGGGTGGCAGGGTCAGGAGTAGGTCCCAGGAAGCTTGGCTCTATGTTCTGCTCGTCAGCCCCTCACAATAGGTGTGGTCACTTAATCCACCAGCTAGAGCCAAGACTAAGGGAAGACCCCCCTGCTCTGAAACCTGACATTGCATGTGGCCTCCCTCCTTAGTCCACGGGAGCTGACCCTGCCCAGCACAGTGGAGATAACAAATCATCCAATGGCGCTTCAAGTGCAGCACTGAAAATGCCAAATGTCTCTTTCTCCTGGGGTTCTGCAGGCTAGTGTAAGTCTTTGGTTGCTCTGGGCAGCAAAATAAGTAGGTCAAATAGCACACGCCCGAGACCAACGGAATATCTATGTCATCCAGTGCTTATTTACTCCTCAGAATGAGTGGCCTTTGTCTTGTTGGCCTTTAGAGAAGGCAAACCAACACCTCAGCCATACAGTAAAATGGGGCTGGGGAGTATTAGATCCAAGGGGCCCTTTAAGAGTTCGCCATTTCCAGGGGCCTTGTCATGTAGCATAACTGAAGCCTCTGGGTGGCACGATGCAAGATGAAAGCCCACCCTAGACCCCCAGGCTTCAGTGCAGACCCAGGAAATCCTGGCGACTGGAGAGCAGAGGCATGTTCTGAATGTGAACAGGGCAGGCATACGGGGAGAAGCAAATCTGAGAGACAGAAGACGTGGGTACAGTCTTTCTCTGCCACTAATTATCCAGGTGACCTCACATTCCTGAGTCTCACATTCTTCATCTTCTGGATACATAGCCTTGAAAGGTCCATGCAGGAGGCCGGAATGCAAAAGCCTACCGGAAGCCCACCTGGGGGGCAGGAATGCGGATACCTGCCTGGAGGACTTAGACAATGAGCCTCGCCTCTCCCCTACGAGTCTCTTCTCAAAGAACCTCTACCTGCCCCACGAACCTTTTCGCGCCCTACAAACTTTTCCCACCATACGAACCCACCTTCCCACCTGACCCCTCCTTACCCTATAAAACCCTGCTTCCCCCTAACAACGTGCGCGGCTTCACTGACCCCCACCTTGGGTCGGTGAGGTCCGCCTGGGGCGCAATAAACTTTCCCTTCCTTTGAGAAATGTAGCCTGGCTCTCTTTTTCTTTAACGCGCCGAACCTTTCAAGCCTGAGGTCCTCCCTCCAGGCCTGGCTATGGTTCCAGGCCTTTCTCCATTCACTGAACTGTCATTTCCGCCAGGCTATGACAAACAACCTCACAAAATTCCTTTCTGTAGGGTGATGACCTTGTGTCTGACAATATGAAAACATCCTCTTCCCACATGACACCACACACCCCCGCCCCCTCCCAGCCTTGGTGCCCTCAGCTCACAGCAGTGTTCCCTGCTGCTGGTCAACTCTGAAAAGATTCCAGGAGATGCCTGCGCATTTCCTGTTCAAGCCATTTCTCCAGGAAGGGCTGGGCACTCACTGGGCTGCAGACTCTACTTGGGGTAAAGGGTCCTCCTCCTGCAAGACTGGGCTGGCATGGAGGGGTGGGCTCTCGGGGCTGTCTGCTCTGTTGTCAGGCCATGTTAACAACTCAGCTCTCTGTGAGTGACCCCCTGAGAGTCTCCTACACTTTTGTTCTTTACTCAAATGAAGGATTGGTTCAGTAAACTTAATCAAAATCAGACCCCTCTCCATGGCATCCCATGGCATGTGGGGAGGGACTTCGTGTTCTCAGTCTCTCATGGCAAGGACAGAATGTTTAGTGCTGTGCCAGAGTGGAAAACAAGAAGACGTCTGGGATCCTCGTGCCAGGAGTGGTCCACAACCCAGTCACTCGGGGGTCCTGGCTCACCAGCTGCTAACATGTGGGCCTCCCTCAGACATCTACTCTGCTCTCTGGGTCTCAGCTTCCAAATGCACAAGATAGTTCCCTAAGGCCTTTCCTGCTCTGATGGTCTGGGGAGTGACTTTGAATTGTTTTCAGTGAGCAAGAGCTGCTTTAGGGAGAGGCAAAGCAAGGGCCTGAAAAGCACCAACCAGCTAGGGACTGAACTTCGTAAGCCAAAAGCCGTGAACAAAGGCCACATGTCACCCACCCCACTCCTTACCTTGCCCCAGCCGGGAGCCGGTGATGGCCTCTTTGGCACTCCCAAAGCCCAGCTCTCTGCAGGCCACGCTGGCAGATACCAGGTCCCATTTGTCGTCACAGATGGTTCCCCATTCTCCATTCTTGAGCACCTCCACGCGGCCCTCCCCGAAGTTGGCACCACCTCTCAACCGCACCAGGGGTTGCTGGAGAGACACACGTTCCTGCTGAGTGCAGAAGCTGATGCACATTCAGCAGGCAGTCAATGCCCACTCCCCTCCCTTCCTCACCACCCCCTCCAAGCCCAGGCATCCAGGCTGGGAGTCGACACTGCTGGATTTGTGGGTAACTGAAGGGTGTTCCCTCTGTGGGAAATTTTGTCCTAGACCACTGGGGAACCCACTGAGGACCCTCACCAACCTGTGCTTGGTTCAAGGACATTACCATTAGCACCTCATCACTCCAGAACCTCAAGCTTTAGAGTTATAGAAAGAAACTCCAATGTCTACAGATTCCAGATGGATTACAATTCTGCCGTTAACAGAGAACAGGAGTCTAGCCCTGCAGGAGACTGCACGGCACTAAGCAGATCACTGTTTAGGATTCTACTCTGTGTCCACTGGGAGGCAGGAGAAGACAGGGGGCTAGAGAGTGGGGCCTTTCCAAAAAGGCCATGGCTTTGAGAACAGGTGCTGCAAGAGGATGGGGCGAACATCCTGGTTAAGATCAGTATCTGTCCTGGAGCTGGGCTCACCCCCTCCTGTTCTGGCCACTCCTGATTCTACTGAGGCCAAATCTGCCTGACTCTTCAAAAGGTGCAAGCCCATGAGATATGTAGAGAGGATGTGTGGTTGCAGCTTAAATCCCCTAGTAGTTCTCTGACAGCCTGGGAGCCTTAATTGCCTTATGGGGTTTATTTAATTGCACAGAAGTAAGTCCCACTTTCCACCAGCCTTGTGACCATACTCACTTTTGTCTTACAAGGTGGGAGTTGGGTCACCTGAATCCATCTGCCCAAATTCCATTTTGCAGCAGTTTCTGTGTGCGTGCATGTACATGATACATGCATGTATTATATGTATATATGCATATATAAATACACATGTATATGCATGCACATGTCTGTGTGTGTTGGGTGGGGCACCTAGAAGGCTGTAAGCTGAGTTATTGCTGATACTCACTGGACTCAACATAGGTGGGGTAGGTGACAGTGCCACTGTTTTACGTGCACTGGATCAGGCCAGAGTCATTGTTCTATGCAGACCTTTGCCTTCCCCAACAATGGTAGGATATGCAGACCTGGTAGGAGGTGGTATTTTTCAAGTTTTCATGAGGACCGCTTTGAGGGCCAAGGCATCAAACAAGAATCTGTGTCTCCATCTCCAGCTGAGGGAGGTTCCTACTCAACCACATTCCCTCCCCTGCCAGCTGGGCCTTGTGGCTGGTCTTGGCAGGGAGGGGTGCTGTGACAATATCCAGATTTATAGGCCTCAGGCCCTACCCAGATCCTGGCAGTAGGGGGAGAGAAGGCAAGAGAGACAGGGGTGGGTGTAAAATACCCAACAGTTTCAGGAAACTTTATTCTCGTTTTAGACAAAACTACTGGTCTCAAGCCCTGTTTGCTATAGATAGATCTTGACCTCTTCCTCTCCTAACCTCCCTGTCCAAGCTGTGTATCTGGGTGCAAGGTCCCCTTCCCATGCAGCAGACCATCTGTGCCCAGAGATCCAATGTAGGCAGAGTTCCCAGTAACCTTATTCCAGCCTAGCAGTGGCCAGGGCGACTCATCTGGCCTCAGAGGAAAGCAAGAAACTAGGGAAAATGTGATGTAAGGCTTTTTTGCTCTTTTTAAAAATTGGTTTGGTGTGAACTTGATTCCTTTGCTTTGAACCACAGAGTAAGAGGAATTCCAAAACAGTAGAATCTGGCATTCTGGATGACACACGAGGAAAACTCAGGGGCTCAGGCTGAGGCTGTAGAGAGGGTGTGGTCATCAAGTCATGGGGTAGGGAGTGGTGGAGTTACTGGGGTGGGGGCTGTGTCCACGTCACCCATACGATGGGCAGTCAGGTCTGTGCACTTTGGAGGTTCCTGTGGGAACCAGCAGGGGAGGGCCGAGTCTCTGCCAGAGGTGCCAGCACAGCACTCTCAATAGTTCCCCTGGCCTCTGGCTGATGGCTGGGCTGGCCAAATGCGTTCACTTCACTCCTTTTAAGTCCGTGAGAACGACACCCAATGTGGGTTATCTGGTTCTTGCCCTGGTTTTTTTCCTCTGCCCTTTCCCAAAGTGGGCCTTCAGGTGTTGATGGGAAGGGGAGACTGGACAGGGCAAAGGGGAAGATGGTGGGAGCAGGGAGAGGGGAAAAGAGACAGAATGAGCCAGTTGGTTGGGAGGGCCTGCTACCCGCCGCCTGGACCAGGCCTGAATTACAACTCCCCCCTGTTGTATCTGACTCAGAATCATTCCCCAAACAAATGATCAATTACTTTTTCCTAGTCCTCCCTTTTTACTTCCCATGGGCTAGTCCCGCCCACCAGCCCATATTAGAACTTTCCAGAATATCACAGAGACCTTGTGGTAGATACATGAAAAAAGAAGGGCTGTGATTCCTAGGGAAGACAGGAGAGTGTATTTCTCTTTTCAGAGGCTGCGTCTGGTCATGTTTAGGAGAATCCACTAGCCCAAGAAATCAGTCAAGTGAAGCAGGGGTGTTAGTTTGTGGGAGCAAATTATCAACATTTCTTGAATATGCTCACACATGCTTGCACACTCACGTGTGCACCCACAGGTGCTGGCTCACACACATGCAGTGACTCACGGGTACAGATGACTTAGACACGCAGGGGCAGGGTTTCATTTTCTGTCAGGTGAGAGCTTTTTAACCCATTTATCCTTTCTGTTGCAGAACAAATGAGAACATGTTTGAAAACATCTTCAGCTGGTTTCCTGTGATTTTGAGAGCCGTGGCTCCTGTCTGGCAGCTTTAGAACACTGCTCTCCTTTGCGCATGGTGCAGGGGCACAAAGTATCCACCACCCCCATTCTGAGCAGGGTCAGCAGCTGGTGAGGGCACAGAGCCTGTGACAGGTCTGGGGGTACCCTTCTCTCCCAGCTATTTGTCCTTAACAAATGGGTCTCAGGCGTCAGAGTGGAGCGGCAGAGTGGAAGGTGAGAGGGGCTGCTAATGATTCATACCTCGAGGTGGCACCTATTGGTGAGGCAGGTACCCTCTAGGGAAGTGCCTGAGTTAAGGCCACTCTCCTCACTCTTTCGGGGGTCTCTGCCTGTTGCCCTACCTGCCACCCTCCTCCAGGAGCCAAGAGGCCCATCCTCACCTCAGGCTTGTAGGCTTTCCGGAATCTTGAGGGTCCATCAGGGCTGAAGACCTGGCCAGGCACACAACTCACCACAGCCGGCAGCCCATTCTCACAGGTAACATTCTTCACTGGGTCCAGTGACACCTGAGGGCCCAGCTTGCAGCTGGAGATGTGGGCCTCCATGCCTGAGCAATTCATAGAGAACGGCCAGTAGCGCTGCTTCTTCCGGGAGGCAAACATCCTGCAGAGGGTGGAAGGGGGCAGGTGACCAGGGCATCCCAGCGCCCACCCCTTGCCCTTCCATCTAGCACCAGCCACTTGCCCTGGGCCTGCCACTCTGCCGGCTGCTGGGGACCTGGCAGTGACACTTGACAGACACAGTCCCTGCTTGTGGAGCTCAGCCCTGCTTCACAGACAGGGCTCTGCAGATGCATCTGCAGGCACTGAGCTTGCTGGGCTTGGGGAACGGGATGGGAGGCCACACAGGCCTCCTCCCCTCAGGCAGTTTACATCCAGGGAGGACAGGGCTGACTCAGCATAGTGAGACAACACGAAAGCCCATAAATACCAAATGCTGAAAAATAAATCTAAAGGAGATGCGACCCCTGGCCCCAGGAAACCCTCAGTCCCAGGCCAACTGGATGGCTGTTCATCTGTCTCTCCAGAGCATCTCAACATGATTTATCGCTCTGTTTTTTTCCCTTTGTCAGTGAGCAGTGCAAGCGGATTGTTAAACTTTCTCCCAATGATATGCAAGATTAAAGGTGAGAAGCAATAAGGACAGAATCTAATGACCCCCACTCGCTGAATTAAAGTATGATTTGCTTCTTGGTGGAAACTATAATGGTGATGGCATTTGGCCACAGACCATATTTTCATCCAGGGATCAGTGAGGCTGCGGTGGTCTTTACCCCCTATTCTAGGGCAGTTTTTAGCCAGTATTTCATATAAAGTGTTCCTTTTTATATTTTTTTGGAAGTCATAATATGGATCAATGAGTTTAACTTGTAAAGCACTTAAAAGAGAGCTCAGCACACAGGAAGAGCTTGTTTTCATAAAATAAACCAAGTGTCATGTTCCCCAGAGGACAGGAGAGGGAGGGATCCCTGTGGTTGCAGTGATAGGGGTGACTTAAAAGACAGTACGGTTTGAACTGAGCCCTAAATGATGGTGAGCCTAAGAGGAGGAGGGTGGAGAGGATGCTCTGCCTCTCATGCTGTTCCCACTCTTTGGGGTCTAGGTGCCCATCTTTTTTTTTTTTAAGATTTATTTATTATTTATACAAGCACTGGGTACAGTCAGATGTGTGGGAGGGTGAGAGAATTCACCAGAGCCAGAGCGGGGAGCAGAACAGGCAGACTGACTAAATACACTGTTTTTTTTTTTTTTTTTAAATAGAGGCATGTTTTATTTATTTATTTATTTGTTTGTTTGTTTTGTTTATACATGCACTGGGTACAGTCAGAAGCGCGGGAAGGTGAGAGAATTCACCAGAGCCAGAGCAGGGAGCAGAGCAGGCAGAAGGACCGAAGTACACTGCTGAGGGGAGCAGCGGGCGGCAGGAGAGGTCTGCGCACCATGTGGGACCCTCCTCCGGTGGCCGGGGAGCAGCCGGGGATTGAACCGGTGCTGCTGAGGCTGCGGGCAGCTTCACAACCCAGCGCTCAACCGCTGCGCCACTGGGGAGGCCCTGACTAAATACACTGTTGAGAGGAGCAGCGGGCATGGCAGGAGAGGTCTGCGCGCCATGTGGGACCCTCGCTGGTGGCTGGGGATCAAACCGGCGCTGCAGAGGCTGTGGGCAGCTTCGTAGCCCAGCGCTCAACCACTGTGCCACCAGGGGAGACCCCTAGGTGCCCATCTTTTCTTGCAGAACTCAGTGAAATGCCAGAGAGAGCCAGCCAGCATCACTGCCAGCTGCCCTGTAGCCGGGCCTCCCAGGGTCAAAAGCCTGGTCCTGAACCTGTTGGCTCAGCAGGACTGGAGGTTTGCTTTGTCTCCAAGTGAATGAGATTTGAATATCATGGAAGGAAAAATCCTACAGAGTCACCAATATTTTCCTTAACCAAAAGCCAAATCTCGTAACAATTCAAGTGTACCTGTGGGCACAACGACACAAAACCTTTGCAAAAGGGGCTATTCTGGAACGCCCATTATGTGTGCTCACCAGAGTTACAGCCCGGAGCAGAGAACTACGCAAGAGAGCTATTAATAAGCCCAAGAACCACTGCCTTTCCCCACTTCCTGTCCAATCCCTGCATTGGGAAACACAACCCCTGGCTCGTTCCCCACGACACCCCGTCAGGCAGGCAAACACACTCTGGATATCAGCTGCACAGGGTTGGTCAGATCTCACCGGCCTGCCTTGGCGCAGGAAAATCCTTTTGCTTCCAATTTTCAGTGACCACCACCCTCTCCCAGGAACAGAGGAGCTGAGCTCTTAATATAGCGCTAAGCACCCACTGCAAACACAGCTGTCCCAGGGCTGTGCTCCTGCCTCCCCAGGCAGCCCTGCTTCCCTCTCACATCAGCTCACAGGAATGCGCCCTGACCTTCCACAGGCCTCCCTGTGATTCACTCCAGATAGCCCCCAAGGAGGCAGAAATACGAGGCCCTGGGACTGTGGGTGGACAGCCCACTCCAGGCCTGGTGATTGGAGGGCTGACTGGAATTAGGGGACAGCCTTTGTGGGGTGTCTGAGAAAGAGGTATCTAGCTCTATGGCTGTGTAATAGGAAGAACCCCGAGCTGGAATGTTTCTACTAAAAAGGAAAAGTCCTAATGACTCTCCCAGCCAGGGAGGAAGCCAGATTGTGTGGAGTCCTTGCCAGCAGCCGAGGACGTCTATTCCAATTACATATTCTGGACCTGGGGAAGTAACCGCAGGATGGAGTCAGGGACTCCCAGTGATATGGTCCTGAGCCAAAGCCCCACTGCTTGCCTGACCCCAAAAGCCCCTACTCTGACTGTAGGCTCAGTGATGTTTTGGGTCTCGTGGCATCAGCCAGTTCAGAGCCAGGGTCCAGCAGTGCCCAGAGTTCTGAGGATTTCCCATCGCTTCCTTTCTCCCAATGGATAGTTACCCTGGTAATAGCTTATAGGTCTTTTGGGGAATGCTGGGAGAAAGATCAATGGGCTACCTTTGTGGCAGTGTACCAAGTTCCTTCCTCCAGGGGACCCGGCCTCCTTTCATTCAGTGGGGTCTGTGACGGGCTCATGTCTGGGAACCGATTGACAGGCTATGACTCTGCTTCATGATTCATGTTAGATCTTTGTTCTCTTATCCTAGAACTTTTCAGCTTATATGGATTAAGTAAGAATGTAGTAAACTTCCCGTCTATTTAATTTCTAGAAGCACTGGGATTAATTAGCCAATGCCACGGACTGTGCACGTCCAGCTGCCCTTTGCTGCTGTGACTCTGCTCTCCACTACGGTGATGCCCCTGCTTTGCCTTTGGCAGTTGAATGATGCCACTTGTATGCCACCACCCTCCCCTGCTAACTAGTAACCCCCCCACCCCCATGCAGAGAACAGCCATCAGGGGGCCTGAAGTATGCCAGACTCCCTCACAAATCGACCCCCGACATCATGCTAAGTCTCCTGGACCCTCCCAGGGTGGGTGAGCAGGTCTTCAGGGACAAAGAGCTCTGACCTTCCCATCTCCCCAAGCTTTGGGATCCCTTCCTCTCAGGGAAATGACGGGAGACTGGGCATTTCCTCCTCGCTTCTGGCAGCCACATTTTGGTCCATGTTTCAGCTAACCAGGCAAATTGCTAAGAGTCCTTCCTAACAACCTGAGCTCCAACATTGGATGCAGAATCTCTGCTTAGTGAACTTGCATCAGTCAGTCACTATCAGTGTTGGCATCCTGTTTTACATTTAAAAACTGATGACAGGCTCCTGGTCCAGCTCACCCCAGAGAGGGAATGCTTTAAAAACATTTCCTTCCTAGAGTGAAGTGTCTCCTTGGAACACTTTGGCAGTTGAATTGGAATAGGGGTGCCAAACACCCCTGCCTCAGGGGTCCGATGTCAGCAACAGCAGGGACACACTGTGGGACACATGGAAGATGAGAGGGAGACGGGAAAGATGCCACAGGAGGCCTCAGGGATGTGCAGGAGGAGGCCCTTTGCTCAGAGTGGGTCTGGGCCCCCCAAGTCTGTTGCCGCTAATCCACAGGCAGACTGAGGGGTTGCATTGAGTGGCCTCCGAGGCTGCCCCAGGGCCAGAGTCCCAGCTCTCTGCCATCAGCTTTCTAAGCCCTCTGCCATCTCAGAAACTCCTCCCAGCATGTGTCTATTTTGTCATGTCAGCTAAGTCCCTGATACGACAAATGCAAAATGTCAGAAACAAGAAAGATAGACCTCCCTGTCCCTCCACACCATCTCCAGTGAGGAGGAACTGCTTTCCAGTGGAGTCTGTTCACCATCCCCGATCTTGCCAAGAATATCACCCACCACCACCCTGCATGCTTCCTGGCTTTTGAAGCCTTTTCCTGTGCCCATTTGAAAAAAAAAAAGAAAGCAAAGCCACAGACTTAGGGGTTGGGAGCAATAGGAATAGGGTTCAAATCCAGTACTTGGAAGGATCACCTAGGGCACAGCTGCCAAAACTGAACTGATCCTCCTCAAAAGCAGACGGACCCAGGGCCATCTGCAATTTTGGAGCTGGCTGAACAAGCTTCCTGCTGCCTGGATTCAGGGCTGATGGCAGGTTTCCCGGTCTGAGCTGAGACCTGTGGTCAGGCTGGGGACACAGGTGACACCAGCTGGGTAAGGAACCTGTCAAGAGAAGGGTTTGCTTTTCTTGGCTCCAGTCAGTAGGGGAAGCTGAGAAGGGGTGCCCAGGGAAGGAGCTGGCCAGTTGGGGGGAATTCTCCCAAGTACTCAGGAGACAGACTTCCATTCCCAGCAAACAGGAAGACCTGGATCATGTCTGAGGGTAACTGGGGGTGAGACTCATCACTCTGATCACACCCAGGGGTGTTGTGAGCATGCCCAGCTGGGTGTCAGTCCTCACCCAAGTGGTGGGCTGGGGCTGGGAACAAAGGCAGCCAGACCAAGGCTCTAGTGGGATGCAGTCTGCCCTGCACCCCTGCATCTGGAGGAGGAGCAGCGGCTGGACCCGTCTCCTGACTCAGAAGCCCTCATTCTCCTTTCTCTGACTTGAAAGCTGTGAGTCTACACTAAGAGAGCAGACCCTGTAGCCAGACACCTGGGTTTGAATCCTAGATCCGGGAAGGCAGCCCTCTGCACCTCACCTCTGCCATCACCCTCCCTCACTGCCCCCCTCCTCCACTTGGGGGCTGTCTCCCACAGGAGGGTGAATTCCTGAGACATAAGTTGACAGCAGGCTTGCTGCAGGGACCTGATGGGCCCCCTACATTGGTGGCAGGAAGGAGTCCTCTGGTCTAGGACCCGCTGCAGGGCTTCCTCTCTGCGGTGGCACACACGAGCCCAGGACGCATGGCCGAGCACAGCTCCTTACTTGTACACTTTGGTGTTGTAGGTCTTCTCCCCGGGGAAGCCAAACATGCCGCAGACCACGCGGGAATTCTTGGCTGTCCAGTGCTTGTCACAGATCTGCTTCCAGGCCTTGCCGTCTTTCACCTCCACGTAGCCCTCTGTCACTGGGGTGCGCTTGCGGAAGGTGGAAAGGATGGCTCGGATCCGGATGTCCTCTACCTGGATGTTTAGGTTCTGGAAGGAGGAGGAAGATAGAAGGAGTCACCTTCCTGGTGTGGCCATGGAGAGGCACCAAGTGTCAGGGCTCTAGGCCGCCTCTCTGCTGGCCTGCCTCTACCCACAGGCCCTGAGGGGCACTCAGTGAGCACACCCCAAAGGCCACAATTATAACTTACTCTGTGTGGAGCTAGTGTAGCTGCAGGGGCCCAAGGAGGGGAGAAGGGTGACCTGGACCAATCAGAGAAGGTTGGGGTGGAAGGAGCGGGCAACAGCTTCTCTGTGTTTGATCAAAAAGATCAGAGAGCAGAAGGCAATAACCTCCTCCTACGGGGATCTCTGAACAAAAGCCTAAGAGAGAAAGTGTTCTTCAAATTTCTGTTTTATATTAAAAATAATTTGGATTTTCCATTTCACTCCAGAAGTATGTGTGTGTGTATTGTGCTTGTCTCTCTAATCTTCCAGTAAAAATGAAGTTTCAGGCTTATGAGCCTCAGATCCCCTGAGACCGGTGGCACCATCTTGCCTATGACCTTGCACCCCCTTGGCTAGCATTCCTCAGTGAGCAATCCCCGGAGAGCAGGCAGGGAGGAGCTGTGTGCAGGTCTCGGGGCTACCTTGCTGGGAAGGGAGTCTTGGGGTCCGGGGGTGGGGGTGAGGGGGCCACATGGGATGAACAAGAAGGGAATGCTTTGCACCCCTTGGAAAGTTCCTTCACACCCCCACCCCACACATCTTTCTGTGGCAGTGAGCTTGGCAGGAGGAAATGGGAGATGCTGGCATGGGGAGTTCCTGCCCCTGCAGCCTGGACTCTCCTTAGAGATGAAGCTGCAATGTCACTGTTGCACACCTACTCCCAAGTCCCAGGGAACTGCTAGAAGGCCAGGATGTCCAGAGGCCAACCCTAATGAGAGCAATGCGGGCTTCCCCAGAGTTACAATAACTTATATGCATTTCCAAGACTCATCCAATAGGGGGAAGCTTCCTCCAAAACCTCTCACTTCCAGCCCCTCCTCATTCTGCCCCTGCCTCTGCCCTATAGGGCCACCACTAGCTCTGGAAAGGCCCCCTGAGTCCTTGCTCTGCCTCCATCCCCCATCCATCTGCCACAGAGCTGACCACCAGAAAGTTCTTTCTAAACCACAGAGCTAAGTCTGTCCTTGGGCTAAGGGCTCTTTGCCTGTGTAGTGATACCCAAATCCCTTGGGCTGAGGGCTCTTTGCCTGTGTAGTGATACCCAAATCCCTTGGGCTGAGGGCTCTTTGCCTGTGTAGTGATACCCAAATCCCTTAGCGAGGAGCTCACATCCCGGCATGACTGTTTCCACATCCACCTCCAGGTCCAAATCTATACCCCGATATTATGAATTACGGTGCAGAGCCCCACTAAGTACTTCCTATGCATTCTCGTAACCAATCCTCAAACAACAGGCAAGGTGCTTTCCAGCAATTCTTATCCCCATTGTACAGATGAGAAACTGGTCAAACCATCTCGCAGGGCCACCTGGTAGCAGGAGTGCCTGTGGGGCAGTGTGAGACCTCTGAGCTAGGCTAGGTGGGGAGAGGTGGGGCTGGGCAGAGGGCTGGCAGGGAGCCCCGGGCACCCAAGTGTCCCAGTAACTGTCCAGTCAGGATGCAAATGAGCCAGCAGGCAGAACGGGACCATTATTCAGGTGCCTAGGGCGTTGTGTCTCACCACCACTGGCTTCCGGGTAGAAAGCCAGGTCCTGCTTTGCTGGCCCTGTGAGGTGGTGGAAAATGTGTGGGCCAGGAATATTTGGCCCTGGTGCCTTTCCACGCCGAACGGAAGGAAAGCCGACAGTGGCAGGATTCTGTTTGCCAGCTTGGCTCCTGGATCCCTTACAGCCTCCATTCAGGCCACAGGCCTTGTGCCACCAAGACGCGTGGACAGGGGTGAGCCCAGAAAGGGCCTGTGGGCCAGTGCTGCCTTCCTCTTCCCACCTTGGGAGGCAGCAGGCATTCCAGGGTGTGGTGTGTAATGCCCAGAGAGAAAGTTACCCCTGTGGTGTGAGCCCTGTGGCTTCACAGGGCAGGTAGGCGCTGCCATGCCACCTCCCTGAGGGAGATGTGAACCTCATACCCCCCACCAGGGCTGACAGGAGGAAGCTGGCAGGTGAGGGGGTTCCACAGGACACAGTCTTAATGCAGCAGGTATTTCCCCTGCAGAAGTGTGACGGCAGGGGAAAGCCGGCTGGGCCCCTGGACTTGGAAAAAGGGGCTTAGAGAAGAGAAAGCATTAGTACTAGGTGTCATTGTCCTTGTTCGTCTCGTCGACAATGGGTGCCAGGGGTACGTGTCTATATGACTGTGTGTGTGTCTGAGTGTGGAGAGTGTATCCTGTGGTCTCTGACTGTGTCCCTGTATCAGTATATGTGACTCTGTGGGGATGTCAGTATGCCTGTTTGTGTGTCTGTGTGGTGAGGTGTGTATGTCAGGGCTGTGTGTCTGGCATCGTGGGGCTCTCTCTATATGTGGGGTATGTGTCTCTCTGTGCATCTGTGTGGAGGAGGAGAGGTCCAGGGGGTCTGATTCCCTCCACAGGCCTTGGGAAGCAGTCAGGGCAGGCCTTAACATTAGTTGTTCCTTCAAAATGGATTATCTTCTGTTCTCCCTCCACAGAAGCAACTCCTTCCCATTCTGTATGTTCAAATTCACTTTACTCATTCACTGATTCATTCATCCATTCAACAAAGCTTGGCCTCCCCCTGCTTTATGGAGCCTGACATGCTCACTCCCTAAGGCCTTATCATGAGGTCTTCTCTGATTGATTTATAAGTTCAAGGGCCCTCATTATCAAATACCAATTCATTAAATGTCAGACTGTCCGCAGAACTTTACTTCCTTTCCCTCCCTCCATCCTCATGACTACTGGAGACAGCTAGTGGTATCCCCAAGTTTCAGGTGAGAGATGAGAAGACTTGGTGAGGTTTTGCGACTTCCCAAGTTCACACAGCCAGTAGTATGTAAACAAGTTCGGACTCCAGGCTTGTGCTCCAGACTCTGAGTGGTCCTCATTCTCCCACCCACGCCACACCCCATATGTATGGGGTTGACCCACATGGGCAGCTTCTGGGTGGTCCCTCCAGGGCCTGCCCAGTCTGCTCACACTTGAAGTCCACGTTGGCCACCCCAGAAGCTGTGAGTCAGACCAGCGCGTACGTGAGGGGAGAGATGCCCTCACCACCTCAGCTCCTGTACTTGGGCCAGGCCTGCAGGGAAGCCCTCGTGGTGCCCATTCAGCACTCGCTGCTCACTGCTGAGCTTGTGGCTGCTCAGAGACATCTTTGTAGGAAAACACATGCATACCACATAACTGCCTCCTTACTTCACTACTCTGGAATCCCTTCCATAACCACAAGTGCTAGGATTTTTTTTTTCCCAGAAGTTCAACCCAAAAGAGAAGATTTGAAACACTAAAGCACACACACATTTTTCTTTTTTAACAAGGAGCTCTCTAGACTGGCTTGTTTTACATTAAGTCGAGAGCCCACAAGCTGGTAATGCACATGGCATGTTTTAAACTCAAATCAAAGTCTGAATGCTGACCCTCTTGCCAGAGACAATAGTTCACCCAGATATCCATAGCTGCTTCCCAAGGAATCCACAGAACCTTCTGGACTTGTCCTACTCAGGACTCATCCCATATCCCTGGGGGCCTGGGTCTCTGGGAGTGGTTATTGCTCCCTTTCCAAAGGGAAAATCAAGGTTCATTGAGGCCACGACCTGCCCTGCTTCAGCCAGGGGGTAGGTAGGTGAGAGGAAGCTAGAGAGGGAGCACCAGGCAGGGACTGTGAGCTTGTACCTAAACGACATTTCACATTTGCAGCATCTGTGAATGACTTGCAAATTCCATAGTCTGGGGCTGTCGCCAATGAGGAAAAATGACCAATTTGAAAGTTTAAGAGGAGATTGCATCAGGGAACAATACGGGGGCAGCAAGCAAGCAAGGTGACAAGAAAGCACGTCACAATTTGTGGGGTGTGCAGCACCAGGAGACCCCCCCCTTCCTCAAGGCACATCTGCAAGGGCCAGACCTTAACCCAGTTACACTCCCCTCCATGCTAGAAGCAGTCACTTCCTATCAGTGCTGGGATTCCCATCTGAGAAGTCAACTCTGTCTGGTGGGGGGCCACGGTGGGGAAATAAAGCCAGCATGCCAGCATCCCAACCAGAATGTACACTGATTACTTCCACAGCCTCGCCCACCCCGTGAGCCCCTTCCTGCTGCTGCTAACAGCTTCCTGCATCCTGTTCTCAAAACCCCCAGCTTGCTTTATTTGGCTATTTAAAAAAAAGTCCATCCATAAGGAGATCCACTTTCCCTTCTGCCAGCTTGACACCTTCCTCAGCTCCTCAAACCAAACACATCCGTGATGCCCCCAATCCTTCTTCGTTTCACTGTGTGAGGCTCCCCTCTCCCAAGTTACAGACCTCAAGCCTCGAGGGCCGTCTTTCCTCTCTGTTCCTCACTCTCGGAGCCCTTGCTGCACCTTTGTCCCCATCATGTTCCCATTCCCACTTCTGTTTTCTAGTTGGGTGCAAGACAGTTGTGAAAGTAAAAGAAGCCATTAGGACCTTCGTCTCCTGGAGCCCCTGAGTGTGTCCTAGGTCCGGATGAGCCCCTAATGCAGAGCATCTCATGCCCCACGGCACACTCATCCACCCTGATCACGTGTATTCCGGGATCTCAAGGTCCCCAAAGTCCAGGCTCTCAGTGAAGAACCTTTGTAATCTGACCAGCTATTTCATTTCTTCCTTTCCCTTCTCCCAGTCAGTGAGCTTCTCTCACCACATTTAATGCCAGCGCCCGCGTGGGACAGCTCCCTGCAGTTCTCTGTCCTTCTCTCTAGGGATCAGAATCTCATTCACCCTCAGGGGCAATTTCATTCATTCATTCAAAAAGTAATGATAGGGCCTCCCTGGTGATGCAGGGGTTAAAGACAGCGCTATCAAGCTATTGCCAGCCACTGCAGCACAAGTTCGACCTCCGGCCTGCCA